CAGAATTTTTAGTATCAAAAACATACTTAATAAAAACATATTTTCATAAATATAAATATAAAAAATATAAAATATATATTTCTAAATATAAAATATTCAAATAGGATATCAAACAAAATACAAATTAATTATTCAAAGCTGAGTTTATGACTTAAGCATAAAGTAAAGCAAAGCGTGCAATGCAATAGAAATAATAAACAACTTGAAATATAATAGTTTATTATTATAACGACTTTTATACTTTAATAGTTTACATTAATAATATAATTAATATAAAATAATAACATAGGTAATAATAATTATAAAGGCATAACAGCATAGATTATTATTTAAGCGGGTATCTCCGTTGCTTCATATTTGAAAATGCATCTACAGCTTTATATAAATCTACGCACTTAGCTTCTTCTTTCTCTAAATTTAAGACCATGAGATCACTCAGTCTGTTATCTCCCATTGTAGTACGTAAGAAAGTTTTAACATTTTTAAGGGATGAAAAGGATCGTTCATTTGAAGCAGTAGTAGGTAATTGGAAGAATCTTTAGTATAGAAATTATTTTTAAAGTTTCAGAAAAGGCTGCTGGAAGTTGTGATAAAGACGATACAATAGAATCAAAATTTATTTGAATAATTGTATTGCTTTGAAGCAATGATTTGGCAGATGGAAATTCTGTTAACATTTTGGATATATTTATTTTAAAATAATTATAGTTGTTTATAAATGAATGAAGATAGGAACACTTTGGATTGAAAAAATCAGGACTTTAGTAAAGATATTTCTAGATAGAATAGATGCGTATTATTATGTCTGTTGTTTATCAGTAACCATTTACCAATTACACATATTTGTGTGTGCCAGTGGATGAAGTGATACCGATATCAATTTATCAATTATCAAATTGAAGAACACAATAATATTATAATATAATTTATGATTATCAGTGAATAGCTGCGGTGCATGCATAATTAAAGATAAGCAAACTGAAGGCCATAGTATTAATGAGGCCTAGGCCAATTGTGGACACCAAAATTACAGGGTGTGCGAGTGCCCACCCTGCCCCCCCCCAAATGGCGCCCCTGCCTTTCATCATCTGGAGCAATTGACATCAAATCTGTCGCAAAACAATCGCTTACTTCTTCCGAATTTAACAATGGTAAGCCGAATACCAATTTTAGCCAATTACCTATTTCACTTGATTCATCTTTATATTCTTTTGATAAACCTAAAAAATAAATAAATTAATACAATTTATTAATTTTTATTTGTATGAGTATTCAAATTTATATTTACCAAGATTTTGAATGTGTTTCCACCAGTTTTGCGTCAAATGAAATCGGCATCCAACAATTTGTATTTCTGGCCAAATTGTTTTTGCTCCAATATGTATTGCTTCTTCGAAATCGGATACTATTTTCGATGGACTGAACGATAAATTTATTTCTGAACATTTTTCAATAACATAACCAAATGATCGTGCATATGTGTCTTTCAGTGCCGTAGACAGGAATTTTATATAGGGGGGGTTTATTATAATAATAACATGTTATAGTAAATTAAGAAAAAATAACAAATTATTTATATTTTTATATCTTAATTTTATTTTTATATCTTTATTTTAGTGTCTTATAAGTTATAATATCAGATCTATTTTTCTTTTAGATTCTGAGTGAAACGATGATTGTATTGATTTTACAATGATGTGTGTTTTTTTTGTGTCTGTCATCACGTTTTAGGACAGTAAAAGTGCTTTGATTTTCTTCAACAGTAGCTTTTCTGATAGGAAAGTGAATCAAATTGGTACTTTGGGGGGTCAAAAGTAAAAATTTCCCAGTAGTTTTCACAAGCGCCGTGAAAAACAACATAAAAATTAAGGAAAAACGGGAATTTTTACGCAAAATCGGTTTTCCAAAAAATCGATTTTGGTTTTTAGTGTAACTCTAAAAGAAATGAACGTATATACATGAAATTTTCACTGGTTGTTTATATTTGCATTTTGTATACACGATAAAATTTTCAAAATATTTTGATTTATTTTGAACTGTTTAGGGACATTTTCATTTTCCATCTTTTTTTAGTTTTTTTTCTAAAAATATCAATAAAATTTTATTTGTTGGTTGCGAAAAGTTGAAAATTTAATAGAAGGCTCCTAGTATATTGTTTCAAAGGCAGATGAAAAATATTAAAAATCCTTAGTCACAATTTTTTTTATAAGCATTTAAAGTTCAAAAATTGACAGAATATAGAAAAATCACGAAAATTAGCAAATTATTTTGAGTTAAGAATTCGTAAAAATGTTTCTTTTTAAATCTAAGATTTAAAAATGTAATACAAGATTCCTCATAAGATTTTCTACATTTATCAAAAAAAAAAATGTCTATAAGAAAGTCAAATTAAATTTTTATGAGCGTTTGAAATTTAAATTTTTACAACATTGGATATTCACTCGATTTCTCATGTAGCGATTTCCTTATTTTGTTGTAATACAAAAACGAATAACTATAGATACATGAAAATTTCACTGAACGTTTATATTAGCATTTCCTATACACCATAATTTTGAAAATATTTTGACTCTTTTTCAGCTGTTTGAGTGATATTTCAAAGTCTAACATCTCAGCCAATCTCTATTTAAAAATATAATTATAGTTACAAAAATGAACATTAAAATTGAATTTAAGGCATTCATTACTTGAGCTTCTTTGAACATTTTTTTAAATTCATGATCTACATTTTCCCTTAAATTGTCAAGAACCTTGATACTGATATTGGCCAAACTGATCATTTCTCTCAAATCTATGTTTTTTTTTAGCACGGTTTTAACTTTTATAGTTTTAACTATAATACTGATAATACCTAATTAATATGTTATCTTAAATTTCAGTATTATCAACATGAACATATAATAAGATTATCAATTATCACAGTAACAAAACGGTTATGGTAATGGTGATTTGTCATTACGACCATTAGACGATACACAAAATACCTTACTTATAAGTTATAACCGATAACAACACAAACATCTAAAATATTATTAATAACTATTATTGATAAAAATTTTTTTTTAAATATATAAGATATATTAGTAGTTTTAAATACCTATTTGAAATAAATTTATAAACTTTCCAAGGGGGGGGGGGTTTGAACCCCATAAACCCCCCCCGTGTCTACGGCCCTGGTGTCTTTACATTTATCGGGTAGTAAAAAATACACAAGTGGAACATAATGTCCGTTCTTAAAAATGTGGATGGTAAAAAGTTGGAGAAAATATTTTGCACAGTATGTAAAAGTTCCATCCACAAATATTTTGTCTACTGAACATAATAGTTTTAAGTTAGATTTTGTTGAAAAACAAATAATTTTGTTATCTGAATTAACAACAAGAACAAAGTTTTCATCTTGGACGGTTTTAATTTGACGCTCGCTCATTACATCGATTACTTCATTAAGATTTGTTGGGAGTTTAGGATATGACGATCTACGCGAACGGTATAAACATTGATAAATATTATTAATGTCTGTACTTGTAAAAGTTTGTGTCACTTCTGGATTCTTTAAAATGCCTCTATTAATAATTTTTGATGGCCTTTCCAATTCGTCTTCCGATTTCCGCTTAAGTCCATTTGAAAATGATTTTTTTAAAATACTTGTAGTTTCTTCTTTATGGTTGATATTATGAATACTTTCATCTTTCAATATTTTATTTGTTGCTTGATTCACATAAATTTTTGCAGTACACTTTTTTTTACACACTGCCATTTAAAGGCATCTAAATACTTGACATAGTCTTTTTTATAATATTTATAATCATTATATAAAATCAAATCATTTTTTCTTTCACTAGAAACTATAGTAAAGTTCATTTTAATTAATTATAACTAATAAGTAATAAAGCTGTAAGAAATATAATTATACGAATGTGCGACACTATGCACGCGATGGAGAATCGATGAGAATCCACGAACTGGATCGATACTGATTAGTAACTAGGCGAGAAGTAACATGGGAAGATTGGGAAGTCCACATTTTAACTATATAAAATATTATATAAATATAGGTCATATAGATATCAAGATATATCGTATCTTAAAGATAAGATTTCAGGCAGAATCATATAATTGACATTTTATATGTAGCGTACCTAATATATTATAGCAATACGTACACTAATACAATTTAGACTAGGTAGGTATACGTTTTATAAAATATTCACATACACCGCGTATAATTGTAGACTATACATTTTATTATAATACCTACAATTATTATCATTTTATACATTTTATACAATTTAGACTATACATTTTAATATTTTATAATATATTCACATACACATATTAATCAGAATATATACATTTAAGTTTTGAATTATTCAATTATTATTAACATTTTATACAATTTAGACTATACATTTTAATATTTTATAATAAAACAATTTATTAAAATAATTAATTATTTAATTATTTATTATATTAATTTAAATAATTTTATAACAAGAGGGGGGAATAAACAGTAGCCGGCGGAATTAATAGCCGGCGGAATCGATATGTAGATATTTTAAACAGTAGCCGGCGGAATTAATAGCCGGCGGAATCGATATGTAGATATTTTAAACAGTAGCCGGCGGAATCAATAGCCGGCGGAATCGATATGTAGATATTTTAAACAGTAGCCGGCGGAATCGATATAAAATCGGCGGAATCGATATACGCCCGTTAAATTTCACCCGGTAAATAATCGCGGGTACACCGGTTCCAAATAATTTAGGTTCTGGTTCCAGATAATTTCGGTACCGAAAAGTATAATAATTTTAAATAGCTTTCCGGGATACGGGCTTAATTAATAGCATGAGAAATATTAGAAAACTCATAATATGATCATACATAGATTATACACAAAACTGTAATACCTTTAAATTATGATAAATAAAATTATTTTATTTTTGAACCTAAAAGTACCTTTTTAATTTAAAATATCTGGTTTGGTTCCGGTACTTTATATATTAAAATAAAGGTTTCGGTTTCAGTCCCTGGTCACTATCATCTCTTTCCAAAAAATCTAAAAATAACGTTCATATAAGTTAGTAGTGAAATGCACTCCAACGTGTATACCTTTTTTAAAGGACGAATTCATAGGTACCTCTAATAAGTACTAACACTGTAGCATGTACTTCGGAAAACCGATCATTTAAAACAGCTGTTTTTGGTATTTTATGCCATTTTGCGAAATTTCCACAAGCAAATTGATAAAAGCCTTCACATAATGGATCTACAGATTTATTCATTGACTCAACTATAATACTGTAGCTATATTATAAGTTAAAACAATGTATATAACATTAATTTTAGGATATTAATGTATTATAGATGCTTATACTAATCAATTATATTAATGATTAATTAGATGCTTCAGATGCTTGTAAATTATAAAATAAGCTAACCAGATCTTAAGTAGTTTTCTGTTGTACATGTCAGTATTTGGTCTTCCGTCTTCGTTAGGTATGACAAAAAAAGAAAAATAACGAAAGGTACAAACATTATAAAATAATTATTCGGCTAAGAAGCTATATACGCTAATACCTTGTAAGTAAAAAAAAAGTATTTTGAGATATATAATATACATCAAAATATACCGAAAAAATGAACACATAATTAGTGAAAATAGCATGTATATAAATAGATATAGTAATATATTATTATCTATGCGTATATCCCAGAAAAATCCACTCAGAATAATATAAATGTTTCAAAACTCCGCAGTTGTTCTTTATTTTTTGGTAAAAATGTTAATTTTTAAATTGTTAACAAATATTAATTTTTCTTATATTTTAGATTCTGTAAGAAGAGTGAAATAAATTGAGTATGTGCCAGATGGCAGATTGCGATATCTCCAACACAATAAAATTCTGGTTAGCACTAGCTAATAACCGCTTAATAAAAACAAAAAAATGATTCTATTCATGTAGTATAGGTAGCACTTAAAAATTATTTGTTTATTTTATTGTTACTATTATCAATTTTTCACACAATAGGTTAGGTACTTATTATTTTTTTGTTATTATAAAATGTATAACCCACACAGCAAAAACAAAATATTATTACCTAACACGTTTCCTTCCATAATATGTCATAGTAACATATTTAAATTTTAATGTTTAAAATATTATAAAAAATGGGTTTTAACTTGTAAATTCGTGATCTGAATATGTTTTGACACAAATATCAATATGTTTACAATATGATTTATATATGTTACGGTCAATGACGAAAATGATGATATTTACGTTAAAGCCCGGCCAATGACGAAAATGATCTTGTACAATACAAATTTACGTAAGTGACCGGTCATTTACGTAAATGGCGACACATAATGGTTAATGTTGTAAACACGGGTATTATTTTATTATTCACGTCAATTCCCAACTCCTGCTGGACGTTGTTGTAAATTATACATTTAAACATTTATAACATCCAGGTCACTGTCAGTTATCTATCCAGACACGTTTCTACGTTAGTATGTAATGTTATATAACAGATTGGTTATCGTTATCTAACAAATTATCAAAGGTAGGTAATTTATTTTATTGGATTTTTTCCCCATAACGTATATTTTAACTATTTCAGTATCGTTTCAGACATCGCATTCGTTTGACATCGCTTGATTCGCAGTTCACCAGTTCGACATTTCGCTGTTCCCCAGTTCACGTGTTATTGCATTTTAAAATATTTATATAAATAATTATTCTTTATTTACGTAAAATTTTAAATATTAAAATATGGATGTAGATACTATGCGTAGTAAATTCAACGATTTATTTAATAAGTTGATTAGTCAAAAACGGACTGACAATAATTCTTATTTTAGTTTATCGGAGTATAGTGAGCAAATTTCCAAAGTTAAAGAGTCGAAAAAAATATTAAGTACTAAGGGATTGAAAAAATCGGTAAAAGATTACAGGATGGTTCGTAAGTATGAAATATTAATGGTTAATGGAAAAGAACGCTTGATAAAACCAGTACCAGAAAATAATAATACTATGCTTTATTATGTATCAAATGAAGAGCTTTTTGATATTCTTCATACTACTCATTCGTCTATTGGACATGGTGGGAGAAATCGAATGGTTGCGGAAATAAAAAATAAGTATTGTAATGTAACTAAGGAATCAATTATGCTATATTTACAACTTTGTTCACATTGTCAAAAGAAATCTACTAATAGAAAAAGAGGACTGGTTTCCAAACCGATATTACACAATGCTTTTAACTCAAGAGCACAAGTAGATTTAATAGATATGCAGTCCCAACATTTTAACGATTTTCGGTTTATTTTTTGTTATCAAGACCATTTAACCAAATTTGTAATTTTAAGGCCTTTAAAAAGTAAAAGTGCAGAGGAGATTGCATATAATTTACTTGACATTTATACGACCTTTGGCGCACCAGCTATTTTGCAGTCAGATAATGGCCGTGAATTCGTAAATTCGACTATAACTGAACTGCACAATATGTGGGAAGACGTCAAAATTGTTCATGGTAAACCGAGGCACAGCCAGAGCCAAGGTTCTGTGGAACGAGCAAATAGAGATGTAGAGGATATGTTGGCTACGTGGATGGCAGAAAACAATAGTACGGATTGGCCCTCTGGTTTGAAATTTATTCAGTGCCAGAAAAACCGAGCTCTTCATTCAGGTAAAAAAAAGTATTTAGTATAATTAAAATAATATAAAATGATTAATATTAAGTGCGTACCAGACTACCAGCGATTAATTAATAATAAATTATTATCAACTACCTATAGTTATTATAATATTGGTAGTAGTTACAAATAATCCTATATAATATTATTATCTATTTATCTATTATTAAAAACATCAATGTGTATTATTGTCATAGATAATAAAGATATGGATAGGACATAATGGTCTTATCAGCGGTCTTCCAGGGAAATAATTGAGGCCAAATAAAGTATATCTATATGGAGTATCGACTGTCAACAAAAAATGTAAACAAATCGCCTCAATTTCTTATCTATGTTGGACCGCAAAACTAATACGTAATGAATTTGAGGCGTGCTATCCATGTATTTATTATCTATGATTATTGTACTAAAAAGTATTAGGGCCCTATAATTGTTCCAGGCTCAACTATGGGTTTTTTATGGCAGTTATAAAAATACTTTTTTACTTCTTTTAAGGTATTGGAAGATCTCCTTATGAGGCCATGTTTGGCTGTACTGCCAGAACAGGACTATTATCGATTGGTCTACCAAATGATGAAATAAATTCATTAAGAACAGAAGAAGATGTAGAAGAATTGTTAAAGCAAATGCAAGAAACTTGATTACACGATTCAAAACAAAATATTGAAGAAGTTATTTCACCGATTTCAGAACAGCAAGAAAATATGATGGATACAGGTTAATTAATATAATTTTTAAAATTTAAAATTTTATTAAAATAACATCCTATAATTTAAACATATTAGATACAAACCTAAGAAAATGTGAAAGATGTTTTATTTTCCTGGAAGCAGACAATGAAAGTACAAATTGCATGAATTGCCAACGTCATGAGCAAATACAGAATGAACGACATAAATCAAGTGAATGCTTAAAGAAACAAGCTAAAAAAATGATGACTATTTCAAATAAGAAATTTACTCCGCTAGAAGTTGGTACCACAGTTAAAGTTTCAATACCCGATGTTGATCGAGCACGTGGATCGCCACGAAACCTATTAGCAGTTATTACCCAGGTTGAAGATGATTTATATAAATTAGGTACTTATAAAATTATAATTAAATTATTTAGATATATTCATTTGAATTTATAAATGCTTATATTTAATTAGGTACAGAGAACGGCATTATTAAACATTTGTATACTCGATCGCAGATCGATCCCTGCAAAGAATGTTTCGTTGATTTGGTATCTGTAAATACCGAAAAAGAAATTACATTGAGAGAAGCTGCAGGATTTAGTAGTGTCACTGGATCGCAAGGTTACAAAAGGTGTAATTGCAAACTAAATTGCAGAACAAACAAAGGCATTTGTCGATTAGCGGGAATATTATGTAATTCAAAATGTCACAACAGTATGCCTTGTGAAAATAAATAATTAATAATAAATATAATGTATAATTAATAATAAAAAAAAATTATAATATAAATATTAATAACTGTAGTATTTTTAGTCATTTACGTAATTGACTAACAGTCAATGGTTAATAATGTTAATATTCGGTCATTGAGGTAAATATGATTTATTTTGTTTTGTAATTTACAACAATAATCTATTATCTTGGAAACTGACGTTATTGCCCGGTAGTTTACGAAAATAACCTAGCAACTTGGCTTCTAACGATAATGACCGGTTGATAACGTAAATGTTCAGTTTTCGTCATTGACCGTAACATATATATTTTCATCACATCTAGACACGCGGTAGCGTGTCAAGCCAAGTTCTAGGCTTCTAGCTAACAGAACTGGAGAGCAGCAATATTACACATTTACACATTACACGAACCATTTTGAGCCACTTTTGACCCCCTCATAACTCAAAATATATTCCACATAACATGTCAAATTTGGCTCATATATTCAGACTTACGAGATACATATGTGCTCCAAATTTCATAAACACGCCTCAAACCGTTATTTAGATATTAACGTCCCAAAATCGTCATTTTTATCACTGACTGACTGATTGACCTATAGATCAAAATTCTAATCCAGTTCCAGATGACCTAGAAAGTTCAAATTTGGCATACGGATAGGTAGTTACCACGAGCCGCCACTGATTATATGTATTGTTTTAATATGTACATTGTACATACTTTTTTATTGTTACATGTTGAATAATTATTAATGTTGCAGCCCATGACACGACTAATAAGTAATTTGCTTCAATAAATACATAAATATTAAAATTTGTTGTTTTAAATTCATAGTTCCACTAATAATACCCATTGGTGTATTATTATTAGTTGTATTACTTCTACCTATAAACAACTTAATACTTTGTATTATTCTGGTCGTGTACATGCTAAGAGTATAGAAGTAAAATCGGAGACATTTGCATACAAAAAAAACCTTATGATTTAGTCGGTATGACACAGAAAAATTTTAATTTCTTCAAATTTTATTTGAGATGCTTAGAGAGGGTTTTTTTTGCGAAATGTACACCTGGGAAGTGAAATATATTACACCGTACTGGTACTGCATAAAAACACAAGTGAATCGAATGTCCAGGGGGGTAATTTTCTGAGTATTATGTATTTAAATATTTTAATAAAACGAAATAGAAGCAGTAAAATTAACAAAGGGCTGTGATTAATTTTATGTGGGGGTCGCTCTGCTCTATACAGTAGGTTATGAGTGGGTTACTGTAATGGATTGTATTAAATTTGAATTCAATGATATAATATCATTGTATAAGAAAAACGATTCTGGGCGAAGCCGGTCAGTCAGCCTATGACATTACTACGTATACCTATTTAATGATATTATTGTGAATAAAGTAATTTATAATATATTATAACCTATTTACGTGGAACCCCGTTCTAAATTTTTCAAACCTCGGCTATAAAAGTTGAACATTTTATAAATTTTTAACTACTGAATAATTGGTATATTTTCAATTTGATAAATTACGTCATACCTACACACTCAAACGTAATTTTTTTTATCCCTTGCAGTTTTATTATTGTCTGGAAACATACATAATATTATTATACAGATACCTATACTGGCTGTACTAATACTTATAGAGAAAACTAATGACTTTCAAATCATCAATAATTATTATTATACAACATCCAGCGTTTTTGTTTAATATGCTGGGCCCAAGTTAAGCGTTTGTCTAGGAGTAGACCTAGGTATTTAACTTTGATAGTTGTTGGTATAGTTTTGTTTGCCAGAGAGACCGAAGGGACTACGCCGAAGGAGTAAGCAATGGCGTCGGTTAAGCGATGAATCTGGTGTATGGTGGAGTGCTTGTTACGAAAGCCGAATTGGGTATGAGGAATTATGTTTTTATCATTAACGAGCTGTGATATGCTTATAAGAATTTAAAGTTTGAATTTTGACAAAATGTGTCTAATTTTGGATTTTAAAATTATTTTGTAGTTAAAAATGTATAAAATGTTTAGCTTTCATAGCTAAGGATTGACAATTTAAAACAAAGTTCCACTTAAATATTTAAATAAATTACTTTATTCACAAAAATATCATCAAATACATATACTTAGTAGGTAATAAATAATAATATTATAGCCTGACTGACTGTCTTCGCTCATAATAGTTTTTCTTATACAGTGATATTGTATCATTGAATTCAAATTTAACACTAGGTATCCATTACAGACTACAGTGATCCAATTGGAACCTACTGTACAGCAGAAAGACACCCACTCGCCCACCTTTTTTTTGTGAGCACCCCCTGTTAAAATCTTCTGGATCCGAGCCTGGGGCCAAGCAATATGCAAACAGTACGGCCCTCATGTAGTGGTTATACATGGAAAAAAAAAAGTATATTTAGTAATATCATAGGCTGACTGACCGTTTTCGCTCGGAATCGTTTTTCTTATACATTGTATACTATATATATTATCATTATATTATATCATTGAATTCAAATTTAACACCATCCATTACAGTGACCCACTTGTAACCTACTGTACAGCAGAGCGACATCCACTTAACCACTTTTTTAATTGTTTAGTTGTGGTTCTTTATTTATGGACATTTTTTTATGAACACAGATCATGATGATAAATTATTTTAATTATTGTCAAAATGTATGGCAACATACAAATGTAGGTAATCTATAAAAAAATTAATGGTTACCTATTATTGATTGACAAAATGAGTAAATGACGCCAAATGGCCGTATCTTTGACATTCAATGCAAAAAGTCCAAGTATAGGTACTCAAACAAATTCTTACCAAAAAAAAAAAAAATGTTATTTATATAATATACACCGGCGCCTGCCCGCCCCCCTAAATGTGTCAACAATGGGCCGCCCGGGGCAAATGTCCCCGTAAATATAAATATTCCAGTTTTCATGCAGTGGTTTTGTTAGTTCTTTAGTCTTTACTATTGTCAAATGCTTAAAATAGGGACGCTAAGGCGGCCTTATTCATAGTCGATGCTTAAGAATAAGTATTGCTTAAGCTACCTATACTTGTGACTCAAATGAGGTTCATAAACAAAACTTTGGCTTAAGAAAACAAAAATTATTATTTAAATGAAGGTTGGTCGAGATCTACCTTAAGCATTGCTTTAGTTATAATCACAATTTTTTTATTTTTAAATCCATTATGAATACGGCCCTTAATCTTCCTCCAAACTTGACTTATGGATTTAGGTTTGGATTATTTTTTATTTGTCTACGCATTTACAATTTATATAAATTTTGATAAAATATTGAGGACTAATTCTTCTCAGTATTGAATATGAATTAAAACTTGAAATGAATTAGGTTAATACTATTAACAAAATACCTACCAATTTGAATAGATAATTCTAATTAACACTTTCTATACAAAGTCATTTTTTAAGTACCTAAAAATACACAATATTTTATGTAATGTGAATATATTTTAGATGTTGGAAGTTTCTGTTTTAAAAATAAATAAAGAATAAATATTAAGTTTAACTAAAAAATTTCTATGATAAAAATAATTTTGACGAGGTATAAAATTCATTTTTTCATGCTATGATTAATTAATAACAAACAACATAAGTATAACAATATATAATAAACATAATTTTAATGTCTGAAAATTATTGATGCAACAACAAAAAAATGTAATTTAGACTTTGGCTATAATATTTGTATATAAAATTACTGGAAAAAAAAAATATATATATTTTTATAATCAATTAGGTTTTTACCAAGTACAAAATTTATAAGTAAAAAATTACTAACAATCCTATAACAAGGTATGGCTAAGGATATAATATTTTAGATTTATAACATTTTGATATTACTATAATTTGTATCACAGTCATTTAAGCTCTTGGACTAATTACTACGGTAAAATAAATTACAAGAAATACATTTTGTTTGAAAAAATAAATATGCTTAATTTATATTATTGGATAAGAAATAATTTGCTTCGAACATCCGCCTTAAAATATATAACAAAAGATAAAACAATTTACAATTTATAAAAGTTGTTTGAAAAATATTCCATTGGCTTTTTTTTTTTATGTTTGATTTGTAACTTGTACTGGTTTAATTTATAAATCATTACTTCACAATTGACATGGTCGATTGTCATATCTATCATCACTCAAATCACTCAAACATTATAATATGCATAAAATAACACAGTTCAATACAAATATACATTTATTTATTTTCCCATTCATATTGCTATCATATTGCTTTCAAAGTGTAATATGTTATTTTGTCAACCAAATATTTTTTGTATAAAATTGGTATATTAAAATTTTAAAATATATAAAAATTGAAGAAATTTGGAATGGTTTAAATATGAATACTGAGCTTAATATAATTCAAGTTTTAACTATATAACTGTGTATATCAACATTAAATTACTATACAAATTATATAATTTTAAATTAATTTAATATTTTTATAAAAATTAATGATTGTTAGCAATTTTAAGATTGGTAAACATAATATAGTACTCATATTATTAAATTATATAAATAAATATAAAAGTAACAAACAAAATTGAAAATTGTATAATGTTCACAATATGTTTTTATGAGGTGTATAATATTATGCAATAAACATTGAAGGAATGTCGATTAAAATTGAGGAATTAAGTAAATACCATAGTGCATGATTATTTAAAAATGAAATTATGAAACGTATTAAAAACCCTGAACTCCACTAGATCGTAGAATTGTTGATGTTTCATCTAGATTGAGCAATTCATCTTCATCAGAAATAGGTGAATCTTCAAGTCTACCACTTTGCTGAACTTTATGGTATTGTATTTTTATACGTCGCAATAAACCAACTCGATGACGACTTCTATGCATCAAAATGTCATCAGTCACCCAAAACATAAGAGCCTATATTTATATAGAAATATTATATAATTATTTATTTATAATGCTAAATTCATAATAAACATTAATATAGTTCCTTACATTTATAAACAGAGGTATAATAAGCATGACTATAGTTAATTCTGTTCTAGGGTCAGTAAATGGTGACATGATAAATTTTGTGATAACTCGCCAGATATCTAATGAAATCAACAATGTAATAACAATTTTAACACAGCATAAAAGTGACAAATATAAGCCACACTGAATAAACCAGATTCTAATTGACTCTGGTTTTCCTGAAAAACAAAAAAATAAATTATCACTAGTAATAAATTGCTATACCTATTTATAAAATATATTAAAATCAAATACATACAAAGTGGTGTAAATTGTAAAAAACTGAAAGTGTAAAAAAAAAAGGTGGGCAAGTTTTTATTGCTCTGCTGTACAGTAGGTTACAAGTGGGTCAATGTAATGAATAGTGTTAAATTTAGAATTCAATGATTTAATATAATTGTATAAGAAAAATAATTCTCAGCAAAGGCGGTCAGTCAGCCAATGATATTACTATATTTGATGATATTATTGTGAATAAAGTAAGTTATATAATAAAACATATTATTTACGTTGAACATATTATACATTTTAAATTTCAAATTTTTAATATTTTTAAACTTCTATTGTAACAATGTATTAGTATCCTTGAATTAAATTGTTACGCTTTTTTACCCAACAAATAAAATATAAAAAAAACTAAAATAATTGAAAACAGCTCAAAACAAGTCAAAATATTATTAAAAATTAGTCAAAATTTTATCATGTATAGAAAATGCTAATATAAACGACCAGTGAAAATGTCATGTATCCACGGTAATTTGTTTTAGAATTAGACCAAAAACCAAAATTGATTTTGTCAAAAACCGATTTAGCGTAAGAATTCCAGATTTTCCTTAATTTTTTTTTTGTTTTTCTCAGCGCTTTTGAACACTAATGTGAATATAGGATTTTAACCTCCCAAATGCACCAACTAGTTAAAAAATATTTTTCTTTATAAAACACCAAGTGATACATATTATATGATATACCATATACATCTTCACAATTATACTACTAAACTATTTAATTACTAAAAAGTAAGAATGCATACAATACTTATATTAAAATCATACCATATTCTCCGAAGTTAAAAGATTCCCAATTTTTTACTCTTGCTACATGTTGTGAAAATCTTATACCAAAAAATATCAATAAAAGACCAAGTGACGAATCCATTAAAAAATGAATCATATACCTAAAAAAATAAAATAATTAATTTAAGTATTTGAAATTTGTTAGAAAAACCTTAGGTAAATAAAAAAAAATTATGATTTATAATTATTTAATTATAGATGGTACAATATAAAAATAGCTATAGATATTCACCATGTGCATGGATCACCTTGAATTTGACCAGCCAAAACTAAATTTGCTGAATGCATAAGCAAAGACCCCATTCCTTGTTTAGAAGTATCAAAAAACCATACTTTCCAGGGTCGTCGATCATATTTTGGTTCACAAAATCGCTTTACTGATAACAAACATGTTATACATAAATTTAAAATGTGTTATTTTTCAGCTTACAGTTCATATTAAAAGACAATAGGTTTGATTATTAATTTTTATATGAAATTGATATAGGTTATTGATATTCAACACGAGGTGAAACCTTTAAAGTATTTTAGAAGCATCTTGATTATGTAACATCAGATGTAAGTAATATTTATACAAAGTAAAAAGCAAGTACTTATTATGTAAACATGAATAAAAAATTTAATTTTTGGAAAATATACTATCTGTAAATATTTACAAGAAAAAATTGTGAAAACATGTGTATATTTAATTGACAGAGAATAATTAACTCTAGGAAAAGCCTCCCTTGGAAAATTAATAAAATGTCTGTTGTATTGTAAATTATAATACAAATGTAATTGTAGTTAAAAGCACATCTTACTTATTAAACAGAGGAATGCCAATGTAGCCAAAAGGCCTTGTAGGAACCATCCAAAATTACCGACTAATGCATTTGGTTTGCAATGCACATCTGGTTCATCAAATATGTCTACCGTCATGACACATGTATTTTAAGCAGTGGTTTTACAAGAAAGAAACCAGCACTTATGTTTTTATAGTTACTGTTACAAAAGATAAAATATAATGAACGATGGGCAGATAATTGTAAGCTACTTGAGTATAATTGGTAATGCAATATAAAAATGTGTACATGATCATAATTGACTCATTTTATTGTTTAAGTAAATTGTAAAACTAATTCTTTTAATAACTACCGTAATGGAAGACAGATATCACGTTAAAAAAAAATCATTGATCCATTCAGTTTTAATAACTACGGAATAACTTTTTTTAAATTAGAGTATTAATGAAAATAATATGTTAAAAAACTCAATCACAATAAATGTTATCATTTCTTCGTAATCAACTTATTCGTGTGAGGTTTTTGTAATCTTATCTGTTATCTCCATGGCCTTAATCGTGGTTATCTTATATATATACATATTTTTAATTTCTTATCGGAGAAGATCAGCTGATAGTAATATTATATTTATCTGTGGTGGTGATACTGGTGATACAAAACAATAATAAAAAAATTTTATTTTCGCGGCTTTTTAATTTTTTCCGGCATAGATAAGAATATATTAGGTTTGTTGTAGGCTGTAGCATGGTTACATATAGTATGTACTACGTATTAAGATTTTATATTTGGTATACTAAAATGGTATGTATCACAGAATAATTATGTTTATCAGTGTAATATTCACTATGCACGATTTAAGATAATATATTTTAAATCGTGTTACTATGTAGTACTGTACTAGTGTTGATTGCATTTCTAAATATATTTGCCTGGTTGGTTTTTTCTATATTTTTATGTTTTGTTCAGATCCACTTCAACTTTTCCTAATATTTTGAATTGTACGAGCTTGAAACTATTATACTGTAGGTAGACATTTTTTCTAAGTAATTGAATAATTGAACAAAAACATTGTATTACTAACCATGCTCAATAATAACTAATATTGTTTTTCAAACTAGGTACCATGAACATTTTGAAAGAGAGCAGAGTAGAAAAATATATTTCATCATTAGACGGATTGAGTCCTGCCCAGTATGTGTTCACATTTTGTGAGTGTATCAATAAAAATAGTACACCAGAGGATGCTCACTCTAATATCGCAGTTCCTTACAGTAGTAATCTGGCTGAATTAGCTGCTAACCGAGGGCCAAAAAAAGTAAGACTAATTGTAATGTACATAACAAACACATCTTATTTCAACGCAGATACAATGAAGTTCTTAGTCAACGAAATGTTAGAATGCAAAGACGTCGGGACAGTTGAACAGTATTATAATATTCTTGATAAAAACTTCAAGCTGCATCCACCATGTGCTCAATACATGGATAAAGAGTATGAACAATTACTGCTTAGTTCATATAGGAATCATTTTGGGCAAATGACTCTATGGGATTATATAGTAGAATGCTTGAATAATATAACAAGAGGATCTCTTTTATACGGGGACGATGATGCGTTTGATTTGGCATTCAAAAGATGTTTTAGTTTTTGCGTATGTATTTTACAAGTTGACTTTGAAGTGTCCAAAAATAAAAATAAAAGATCTTTGGTAGCAAAATGTCTGAAGTATAAACTTGAAAGAAGAACGAGAATGAGTGAAATCAGCACACTTTTGGATAAGTTATATAACACTGGGTATAATTTTCAAATGCCTGTTATCCATCTTGCAATACTTGTAAGTCAGTTACAATGAAATTAAAATGTAATCTTTTCATCAAATGCGCTTATTGTTTGTTTACATGTATGTAATTAAGGTTATTTTTTATTGTTTAAACAAATATAATCAGTTTATTGTTTATCATAGACAATGAAGAGACTGAGTTTTTTTTTGATATATTAACATTTGAAATACAATTTAGGGTGTATCTATCCTTGATTAAAAAAAATATATATATTCATAAATAGAATTTTAAAAATTATTATTATTTCTTCTTAAAACATTATATAATGTATTGAAATTAGTATAGTTTACTCATACATTACAATTTCTGGCAGTAGAATATGTGGCCATATATTTACAAGACTCAAGCTATACAAATTATTTTACTCAACATGATCATGATTAAAATTAGTATAATCATATTATTAATGAAATATAAAATCGGTTACATATAATCAATAATGAGTACACTAATATTATATTAAGAAAATTATTATAACAACAAAGTGGTACAATACCAGTGCCGTAGCCAGGATTTTTTTTCGGGAGGGGGGGCTTAATTATTTATGGCCAATTATTACAGCAAATTAAGTTTACACTGTATTTCTGATAAATAATTCATAAATAAGTATATAACTAATACATAAAAAAAGACAAAAATAAAAATAGATTACATGCTTAAAACATAAAGTCTAAGCGTCTTTCGTTTTTTGAGGCAAACATAATAATTATTGTTTCAGAGTCAATAATTATTAACTGGTGAATATTCATGAGTGTTAGATCATTTAGCCTCGTCTCACTTGTTGAGTTCCTTAAATAGGTTTTTATCCTTTTTAATGTGGAGAAACTTCTTTCAAATGATGCTGTTGAGACTGGTAGAATGGCTAGTATTTTCAGCAAAACATGAATACTTGGAAAGTTCTTCTGGACATTTTGATAGAAAAAATTATTGTCGTCTGACATTACGAGGGGGGGGGGCTTGAGCCCGGAAGCCCCTCCCCCGGTTATGACACTGTACAATACTATGAATACTATGATTATATGACATCCCTCATCTTGTATAAAGTATATCAATTAAAATGTGGTTATAGAAGATATGAAAGCCTACAAGTCTTTATAAATAATTTCCTTTGAGAAGTGGTAGTAAGTCACAAAAACAAAAATCTCGTTAAGCTACTAGTCTTATTAAGAAAATACTTTTTATTTTGAAGTGGATTTAAATATCTTCAATAGAAATGATTAAAAAGTTGATAATAATATTGCAAGTATAAAATATATAAATATGTAATTACTATGAATGGAATATTGTGTTTTTTTGACTTCAGAAGATTGAAATACATTTATTTTTCCTTGCGCAGCAGCCATATTATTTAATCAGTTTCTACATATTTTATACATGGGCGTTAAAACTGTTTTAGGATTTCGAAATTTACTGATAAATAAAATAAATAAACTCATAATCAGTTACTAGTATGAAAGCGACTACTTGTAGAATTCAAACTGTGGCAATAAAATAATATAAATGTACAAATTAATATAAATTCAACAACTATCCCAGTAACATATTTGCCAAAATTATTTTTTTAAAAGGTTTGAGAAAAATAATTAAAATACCTAGTATGGTTACATAAATCCAAATCATACTGAATTAAGGATACTCTATAAATGTTTAGATAATATGTTTAATGAAAAATATGCATACAAATTATTTATTTTATTTTAAATTAACTTCAATCAGCAAATAACATGCTATAATAATGGGCAAATAAAATTAATTACAATGTAATTAACTATTCTGATACATTTAAAAATTTCATAAAAAGTTTTTTTTTTCAACCACCAAAGTAACATTGAAGTATAATACTTAAAATAACAATACTATTGGTTACATTAAAAATAACCCATATCCATAAAAAGTATTATTTGTCTTAGCGACAGCTCTTATAAGAAAACAAAAGTGTTTGTCTTATATAACTTCCAAACTTATAAGTACAGAGCACAATAACTATTTCAATTTAAAATATCACAAAGAACATATCAAAAATATTATATATTTTAGTGCATTAAGTGCATTAACAAAAATCATATATTTTATTTTTATAATATAATTGTTAATATATAAAATACAACCATCAATAAATTAATCAGTTTTAGATTTTAGTTCTTCAGAAGGTGATTCAGGTACTACAACATCTTCATCAAATCTACTTTGATCCACGGGATACAACCTAATATAATATATAATTAGTTAAATTATGAGTTCATTTTATCTTCCATAATGATATTATTTACCATCTTTGATAGATATAAATGAGAAAAACTATATCATCCCTGAAACAGGCTAATCGATGAGCAGTTGGCATGGGAATGATAAATGCAAACAAGTCGTCAATGAAAGTGTTAAATGCCTGTATAACATAATAGTTTAAAATAAATTGTGTACATAAAAAAATTCCAAAAACTCACCTTATACATAAATGTTTTCCAAGGAAGATTAGCAACTGATTTAAGTCTATAGTTGATAAAAAGTTGTGGTAACATGAAAAGAAAACCAAATGCATAGACTCCATTGACAAGACTTTTGATACTCCAAGAATACCAGCTAAATAAATTTTTAGATTAATAAATTTCAAGTATTATATACAAATGAGATGTGGGAAGATCAAACCTTTTTTGTGGTTCATAGATAAGTGAATAAATAGCAGCACCGGCACACAGTGGGTATAAAACATATGATAGATATTTCATGGATTCAGCATCAAACTTTTTAGTATCCTCCTCAGCACGATTTAAGGTTAATTGTTTTAGTTTTAGATTTTTCCAATCTATTGGGATGATTTTAAACACTTTCCAAATCTAAATAATTGGAAAAAAAATTTTTAATGTAGGTATATACATGGTGATTTACTGAGTATGCTGATCCCTATTTTCGATTTAAGAATGAATTTATTCAAATTCTGATTTTTGAAATTTCTAAATATAAAGACTATTTTAAAATTCTGGTATTTTTTCGTACAATGGACATCTGTTATTTTCAAATTTTATACGTTTTTAATAGCGAGCACCCATAGTTGATCATTACTACCACGGCCACATGACCGCTAGTGCGCTACAAAAAAGCAACGTGGCATGGCGGGAAACATTATAATATTTTTGTCTTTTGATGTAGTAAACATTTTTTTTTATATTTTTAAATGTTTTTTTCATGTACAATAGTACATACAAATTTGAAATGTCACTGAAAACTATGATTGGCTTTCCGATGATACATATTGTATGACGGCCGACGGTCACATGGTAGTCAACGTGTTAAGGAATTTTCTGATGGGATACAAACTGCTGTATTTTAAATGAAAACCCCCTTATGGCTTATTTTACTGTAAATAATTAAGTGGACACATTTTTTGAACATTTTGATGTACCTAATTAAAAATTTAAAAGAATTGTTTCACGGTTATTAAAATATTTATACTAAGGATAAGTTCTTAAAAATGGTTTTCAAAAATATAAAATAGATGTAAGATTGGATCTAGTATTAACTATAATTGGACCATTTTTACAAATTATAAATACTGACAGATTAATATTAATTACTAAAATATTTTGATCACCATAGAAATACCTAATTTCTTTTGAACCTATTATTATATAGTAGTTTATGTATCACGTTAAATAGTTAAGTAGTATTTATAGTTTAGAAGAGCTGGGTGGAAGGCCTCGTAAAATATTGGTCCATTACTCGGCTCATCAAAACCATTTTCCAAAATTTTATTTTTATACATCAAAATACTACACATAATTTTATAATATTCTGCTGTGTATTATGAAATTAAAAATGTTATTTGATTAGTTGTAACAAACTTAAAACTAAGTAAAAAAGGTAGTGGTTTAGTTGACGCCCACCAAGAAAGTATTCTCCCGTCACTCTGGTTTAGTTGATGCACGGCACTTATATCTCACATTTTTTGACATTCAAATCATTTTTTATTAAATTTATAATTAGTTTTATTGTCAGGTTAGTTAATTTTTTCCTAAAACCAAACATTTAAAATTTTTATCCTATTTTGTAAAAATTAATTTTATAAAAAAAAATAATAGTTATCGGACATTTCAAATTTTATTTATAAATATTATAAGTAATAATGGTTGAAATATTGAATATTTACAGAAATATTATGAACAGAAAAGTTATAACTGCGTTATTCAGAAAAATAAAATATAACTATTCACTTAGTACCCCATACATGTTTGTATACTCTTAAATCATTATTAATTAGTAGTTATTAGGTACTTATTATTCATTCATAAAATTACTGCTGAATTGATTAATATTTGAAATTATATGTGTGGGTAAATAATTATATTCTAATAATAAATTTGATTTAGCTGTGGACCTTTAGGTAAAGAAATACATAAAACTAATTTAATTATTTTGTTGAATTTCATCATGAATTCAACTATTAAAATATTAGAGTACTTTTGTATTTATTATTATTTTAATTTTAAATGTATAAAATATAAAGTGTAAATACAGCATGATGATTAGAACAACGAAAATGTGAGAGAAGTGGCGGGCATTAACTAAACCTGAGTGAAAGAAGAATACTTATGTAACTGCCGTCCGCCAATAATTAAACCATTACCTAAAAAATATATATTTTTAAAAATGTGTATAGCTTTTGAAATAATGAGTATTTTACATTAAATTAATTACTTGGCTTTTTTTTTAAACAATACAATTATGTTACATCAATAAAATGTCTTATAATTTTTACCTCTATTACAGAACTGATCACGCTTGGTACAATGATCAACATTGATGCTTTTTCCTCGAACAAATAAAGTAATACAACAGTTTGACTAAAAGCACGCCATATAACGAGACGTGATGATAACCCAGCCATAGATTTTCGTGATCGCCAAAATGATATATCATTTTTAAAGGCTAGGAAATCAAATAATATCTAAGAACAAATAAATGGTAATTTTTAATTTCATAGAAAACCATGAAAAATGTTTTTATCTCACGTGAACAAATGCAACAATAATTGAAATTAATAACAAATAATGATTGGTATCAAAAATAGCTTTAATCTCATCAATATCTTTATTTTTGAATCCAAATTGCTGCAATGTTACCATAGCTAATTGAGTTTGTGTTAATATTCTAAAAGAAAAATACTAAATTAAAAAATAAATAAAACATGGATTTGACAACATTGTAATGAACTTCAAATCAAAATTAATAAGTTAGATTTACTATATAATTATGTACATAATATTAATATAGTGTGATCCACTATCTATATTATTTATAAATGCCTGTTAAAGATTTTAAATAATTCAAACTGAGTAAATCAAGCCACTTTAATCAAGTGAAAATAAATTACAGTTTATATTTAAATAACTAAATCGATTATATTTTTGAATTAAAAACCAAAATACCAATAAAGGGAAAAGTACTAAAAATCATGTTACAGGTATATCTTTACATTACCTTAGTCCAGTGTAACTCAAAGGTTCATAACGCAACAAAATAGGTACATGTGTAGTATTTTTGTTGATTTTTGTAATATTGAAGGATCTATCGTGAAGAGAGTTATGTAGGAAAATTGGTAAATACTCGTGTTTGTTTTTATATAATCTGAAATAATTATTTTAGATACAAAAACATTAGTTAGATAATTATAGATATAGGCTCACCGTTTTATTTTGTAATTTTAAAATAAAAACTTATTTAATTACATAAATTACTTTTACCTTATATATTGATAAATATCGCTAGGCATATGAATCTGAGAAAAATGTAATGGTTCTTTTAACATGCTAACTGGTAATACAGCCTTTATATGTGTCACTGGTTTTTCGACATTCTTTTTTACGTTTTCCCCATCTTGTAGTAATTGAAAAATTTTATATTCAGGTTCTTTGTAAATAGACATTGGTACTAAGGTGTATACAGTATCAGGATCGGTTAATAAATTGGTCCATTTATCCCCAGAATAGAGTGTTTCTTGAGCTTTACTTAAGAACACATGTGCATATAATGTTCCATTTCGTTTCGTTAGTCTTGGTAGTTCTACAGCCATCAATCTGCATTAAAATTAATAAAGTTATTGATATTCATTTAATTGAGTAGTTTATATGATACTATAAATTATACCTTTCATAAGAATCATTGTAATTTGGTAGCAGGAATTTGTTTACAAATATAACTTCTGGACCTCGGGGGTTTGAATGTGGTGCAACAAATATGGTAAGCTAAGAAATAATTACGATAAGAATAATGAAATGAAATTAGAAATATTAATACGGTAAAAATATACTTCTAAGTTTGGTTTTCGTAACAAATATGACTTTAAACATAGACCTTCACTAGTACATGATGGCGGTTGTACCATTATCCATATTGAGTAAAATAGATTACACAAGTATAATATGAATAAAACAGTCACAATTGTAGTAAACCCAGGTTTCATGGTGATGACTTCTGAAAAAAATGTAGGCCATATTATACATAAAAAATTTAGTTTTTGTACAGAATTATATTGCACTTGAGATTTACATTTTTTAATTATATACCTATTAAAAACAACTAAGTGAAGTTTTGTTTATTTATTGAGTTTATAGTACAATTGTAGACTGTAGTACTTATATAGGTGGACTGTTGAATCACAAGTCACAACAGACATTATTTGATTAATATATATATTTATATTATACATGTAACTATGTAAGTACATTTAATTATTTAAATATACTTTAAATTTTCTAGTACATGCACGTCATTATTAATAAAGTTAACAAGCATTAGATCGTGTAAAAATAAGTAATTTAATTCAAATACGGAAAAAATTATAATGGCTAATTATATTTTTTTAAATTAACTATTAGGATATAGGTTAACCTATAGGTACATTTATTATTTTTTTTTTTTAAGCCACCAGTATAAACTTTGATAGCTTGACAATTACATAATAAAAACAAAACAATACAAAATTAAGATTAACAACGTATTAAATTCTTTAATACTATATAATGAAGTTGATTACCTATCTTATTATTTTATAGTATAAAGGCGATTATTATTTTTATAGCTGTTTCAGATTTGGTGTTTAGGATGGAGTAAAGATTGAGAGGAATATTAAGAGATATAAGAGTGTTAAATAGAATTTGTCTTTTAAGCTGGAGGGCAGGACAGTTAAATAAAACATGAGGAAGGTCACATATACACAATCACATTGAATGAAGTGTACAAAGCGGCGGGTCGTTTAATCCAAGTTTGAAAGAGTGACTAGGTAATAAGGAATGTCCTATACGTAAACAATTAAATTGAACTAAATGTGATCTTTGTAAATTTAGATTGTTAAACCAGATTTTTTTTTTGATATCAGGTGTTGCATGTCTATATCTCGAAGCGAACTTAGCCGGTAAGTTATACCAATAGGAAGACCATTGACTAGATAGGTAGCGTTTTAAAAATGGAAAAAATGTGTAAGAGAGGGATAAATTAGATCAGAGGTTGATTTAGCCAAATTATCAGAGATCTCGTTACCACATATACCAGTGTGACTGGGAATCCAAAGGAAGTGAATAATGTAGTTTGATTGATTGAGGTTGAAAACAAGAGATTTAATACGAAAAACAAGAGGGAAGAGGTGAGAGTTGAAAGGGAATTTTATTACTGGTTTTTGAATTGTAAAAATATACCTGTAATAATTATTAATAAATATAGCTTGATTAGATACCTATCAACTAGTGGTAAAGCTAGTTTGTAGAGCGCTAATGCTAAAGCTACTCCCCCAAAAAAATTAGCTTGCTATCTCTACTTTTTTTTTTTAATGTAGTCTAAATTGTCTAAATTGTCTAAATTATTTAACCAGGATGAATAATAACTAATAATTAAGATATACTTACAAATAAAATTTGGTTTTATTTCTTACACTTCATGGATATGTATGTACCTACAAGTGTACTTATTTTAAATTAATTTAGTAGTTTTAAACTTGCAATTAAATGTCTACAATACCCAATCAAACATTTCTTCAGTCCAATAAAAAAATATATGTCATCGTCATGTACATTTTTGGTTTAAAATTGTATGTTTCAGATTTAATTTAATACTGATGTACGCATAAAGATTTAAATTTTACTTCGTGAATCGTGGAAACAGTAAACCCAATTGGTAATTTGGCAATTTTTTTAACATCTATAGGTACATAAATTATGTATACACATTTATTATCACTAATCATTGTGTTATCAAATGTAAATACCGGTATCGTCATAGACCACGGACATAGCTGATAATGGTCTACGGCATTAGAATATAGATCTCTATCTAAAGCCGTGTAATGGACTGGCATCTATGGTGGTAGAGACCCTATATATGGCTGGGGGTGTTGGGGGAATTTAAAATTCAACAGATTTTTATATACCTGTGGAAAATTCAAATTTCTTAACTCCTCTCAAGGACGTGTATTGATACAATTGATATCCGTGATTGTTACTATCAAGGTCAAGGTGATAAGGAGGATCAATCCAAATTCAGACTCACGGATCCAGCCATCCAAGGAGTGATGCCCTAATGCCCTATTGCTCTAACGTTATTACTTTTTATTATTACCAACTATGAAGTTATATCAATGTTTTTCTCGATTAATAATAATATTAAAATTAACGCTTGAGCAGTAGCAAATGACGAGACAGTAATTATTTAGAATTGAAATAATAATTATGTCATAATTGCTATTTGGGAATAATTTCAGCCTGTATTGCAGTATCCTAGGAGAAATAAATAAGTCTTAAAATATAAGCCTAACTACTTGATTTTGAATAGTTTTTAATTAATTTTTTTTTCAAAACTAACATGGCGAATTCATTGGTGAAGACTTCAACACGAGTTCCAAAAATGGTTGTTTTTGATTTAGGTATGCTGCTTAATTATTTTTTGCATTACTTTGAGGATATTTCTATTGTAAGTAATATTTTCTTCACTTGGATACCCATATCATACATTTAAGAATTTTTAATTCTTTAATATATAATAGTAATAATGATAATTTTTCTACTATAGATTATACATTGTGGCCATTTTGGGTTGACACTCATGTGAATCCCCCTTTTCATAAAAGTGGGTAAGTTTATAGTTTTAATATTAGTTTTATATAGGTACAGTTATAAACATTATTGTTGTTGTTTTATTTTTTTAGAGATGGTAAAGTGGTTGATTCCAGAGGTTGTGTAGTTAAATATTATCCAGATACGCCAAAAGTCTTGAAATATCTTCAGGACAAAAATATTGGCATAAGTGTAGCTTCAAGAACTGGAGAAACTGATGGAGCTGAGCAACTCATACAATTATTTGGTTGGAATAAATATTTTGAAAACAAACAAATTTATCCTGGTAGCAAAGACACACATATAAATAAGTGAGTACTGAGTAATAAATATTATCGTTATATTTTATCAACACTAGCTAATTTTTGGTTTTATTAATTAGGATAAGCAAAAAATGTAATATCAAACTGGACGAAATGATTTTTTTTGATGATGAACAACGGAACATTGTTGATTTAGAACGTTTAGGAGTAGTATCGATATTAGTAAAAAATGGGATGACAATGCCAGTTTTAATTAATGGTTTGAAAACATTTTCGGATATAAGATCAAATGTGTGAACTGTTGTGTTATTGTTATAAGTATTATAACCATGAATTAAATACTTCATAAGATATGTAATGTTTGAAACAGAATTTCATTATTGTATTAACATGCATATCTTTTTTTCTAAACCATACTGATATATTATGAATTATGATAGAATGATGTATTGCAGTGTTTCCCAACCTATGGGTTGCAAATATTTTTGATGGGTCGCGATAGTCGTAAACTAATAAGAAAAAATCTTGATTAGGTATAAAAAGAAAAAATGTAAATAATTTTAGCTGTAAATTAATTAAAAACTGTTTTGTTATATTTTATTTTATACATCCATTTATATCTACGTATAATTTGTATAATGTATAATTATAATGTGAAGTATACCGGGCCTTATTTAGATATTTTACTGCCCTAGGCTCAAAATTCATGGCGCTCAATGGATACAATTTTATATTATAGTAAATTAGTAAAGTGATTTTGGCAACACTTTTTTAACCAGGGGCCATAAAAAAATTGATTATAATAAAATATATTATTTACAATACTATATTATGGCATAGTTATGCCATAATAAGTATCTAACTACCTAGGTACTTGATTTTTTTTTTTAGAGGGGGGTCGTGTAGCCAACAGAAAGTAAATTATGGGTTGCCATAACAAAGGGTTGGGAAACACTGATGTATTGCACTATTAAACGTGACCATTTAATCTAAATTTAATTATTAATTAGTATTTAATATCTAAGGCCCTTTTGTTCCTTTCTACAGCATCCATTTTGGGACTCAGCAAAAAATTCTATCACCAACTATATTAAAGATTCCAATCAAAAGTCCTCCACATTATCTTAAAAACTCCAATTTACATTTCCAATAATATTCTTCACTTTGACATCAAAATACCCACTGCCACCAAACTAGCAAAGCTCCATTATAATCTCTTCTCTAACAGACTTACTCATAATCCCAACCCTCTTATCATCATCCCCGTCCAATACTTCTTTTAAAACAAACAATTAAAGCTTTTAAATAATATAATATCTGGTAATTTACAACTCATAATATTATATAATATATTATGTAGAATAAATACATAGGTACACAATATACTGAATAGATGTTGAATTGTAACCACCTTGTCATATCTATATGACTATATTTTATAGTTTATACAAATACTTCTGTAATATTTACCAGATTATAAAAGGCACATTTTTTACTCTTAGTGTTTTACAAAATTACCATCATAACAACTAATCGTTGTTATTTTAAATAGACATAAACATTAGGTTGTATATTATGATAAAAATTAAGGGGCTTTCCAATTTAAATATTTTAAATACTTTCTCAGAGTCTATACTCTATATAGTATATTATACTAATTTTCAAATACTTTTATACTCTGAATGAATACAGATTTTACAATGATGTGCTTGTGTTTTTTGTGTATGTACACGATAAGTATAGTACAAATAGTAGAAGTATTTGCGAGGTTAAAATTTAAAAGATACTGCTCTGCTTGTATGTAGTAGGTTACAACTTACAAGTAGGTGACTGTAACGGATGGTGTTATATAAAATCATTGTATACGATAAATGATTCTGAGTGGAGACGGTTTGTCAGCCTTGGATATTTTATATTATATTTATAATGTTATTATTATTACGGTTAAGTTGAATTATTATTATTTGTTTATTATCATAATATTTGCATATAATAATATACTTTAGAAATTTCAAGTATCCACAAATAATATTTATTAAAATACCTATAATAAAACTAAAACTATTCTTCTTCATTTAAATATTTAATTTCTTCAAAATTTGAACATAAAATAACTAAAAAAAAGGTGGTTAAGTGGATGTCGCTCTGCTGTACGATAGATTACAAGTGGGTCACTGTATAATGAATGGTATTAAATTTTAATTCAATGATATAATATCATTGTATAAGAAAAACGATTCTGAGCGGAGACGGTATGTCAGTGTAGGTTTGAGACATATTATATTCTTATTATATTCTTATCTATGGTATTAAAAAAAAAAATTGACCTATAATAGATACTTATAATAAATTCCAAATTAACCATATCACAATATCCATTAGGTACATAAACGCGTTATATATCAATAACAAACCGTGATACTATCATAGATATATAGTAGTACCTATACTTTAAAAGTTTCAAGTACAAACGAATAATATTATACAATCACAACAAAATAATTAAAATAGTTATTCTAGGTTTTTTTATGTAATTTCTTCCAAATTTGAACTTAAAATGACTATAAAAATAAACTGTGCTTGTTTTTTTTTTTAGATTTTTGGATAACAGAATTAACTACTTACATGGAATCTTGTTTTAAATTTTCAATCCTTTGATATAAAAGTTGAACATTTTATACATTTTTAACTACAAAATAATTATTCAATTTTAAATTTGATAAATTTTGTCAAAATTCGATCTTTAAATGCTAAAAACAAAGCGGATACACTAGAACAAAAACTAACCTATCTTTCATATTCTGACGGTAGCTTATGGAAAGAAACCAAGAAGTTACTTAGTTTTAAAACTCCTTCTACCCCTTTAAAGAAACCTGACCATACACTTGCTTCTTCTGATACCGATAAAGCCTATGTATAAAGCCTAATTGTGCCTATGTATTTTAATATTTTTCAATTGCTATTGTAACAATATATCAGGAGCCTTGTATTCATTTTTTTACCCTTTTTGGCCCAACAGATAAAACTTTATTGATATTTATAGAAAAAAAAACTAAAAAAATTGAAAACTGAAAATGTCCGTAAACAGCTCAAAAAGAGTCAAAATAGTTTCAAAATTGTACAGTGTATAGGAAATGCTAATATGAACATTCAGTGAAATTTTCATGTATCTACAGTTATTCGTTTTTGAATTGCAACAAAATAAGGAAATCGCTACTTGATAAATCGAGTGAATATCCAATCTGTTAAAAATTTGAATTTCAAACTCTCATAAAAATTTAATTTGACTTTACGGTAGAGATTTTTTTATTCATAAAGGTAGACAAACTTATGAATAATCTTGTATTACATTTTCAAATCTTAGATTTGAAAAGAAACATTTTTACGAATTCTTAACTCAAAATAATTTGCTAATTTTCGTGATTTATTCATATTTTGTAAATTTTTGAACTTTAAATGCTTATAAAAAAAAATTGTGACTAAGGATTTTTAATATTTTTCATCTGCCTTTGAAACAATATACTATGAGCCTTCTATTAAATTTTCAAGCTTTCGAAACCAACAAATAAAATTTTGTTGATATTTTTAGAATAAAAACTAAAAAAAATGGAAAATGAAAATGTCCCTAAACAGTTCAAAACAAATCATAATATTTTAAAAATTTTATCGTGTATAGAAAATGAAAATATAAACAGCCAGTGAAAATGTCATGGATATAATTTCATTTGTTTTAGAGTTACACCAAAAACCAAAATCAATTTTGAGTAAAAATTCTCGTTTTTCCTTAATTTTTATGTTTAAACATTCAGTCAAATTTTCATGTACCTACGGTCATTTGTTTTAGAGTTACACCAAAAAGTAAAATCGATTTTTTGGAAAACAGATTTTGCTTAAAAATTCCCGTTATTCCTTAATTTTTATGTGTTTAATCCCGGCGCTTGTGAAAACTATTGGGAATTTTAAAATTTGACCTCCCGAATGCACCAACTAAATTCACTTTCCAATCGAACAAGATACTGAAGTTGAAAATCGAAGCATTATTTCGACTACTTATTGTGTACACAGACACAAAAATAAATGAAAAAAAAAACACATCATTGTAAAATCAATATACATTCATCGTTTCTCTCAGAATCTAAAACTGATTTTATATTATAATTATATTTTTTGATTACAGAAAAACCTACTTACGTAGAACTTTGTTTTAAAATTTCAATACTTGGTTATAAAAGTTGAACATTTTATAAATTTTTAACTAAAAAACCATTTTTAAATTTGATAAATTTGGACTAAATTTGAACTTTAAATGCTTATTAAAAAAAATTGTAACTAAGTATTTTTAGTATTTTTCAACTGCCATTGTAATAATATATTAAGAGCCTTGTATATTTAATTTTTTAGCTTTTTGACTCAACGAATACAATTTTATTGACATTTAAGGAAAAAAACTAAAAACATTAGAAACTGAAAATGTCCCTATAAACAGCTCAAAACAAGTCAACATAATATTTTGAAAATTATATGGTGTATAGAAAATGCTAATATAAACGTTCAGTGAAAATTTCATGTATCTACGGTAATTTGTTTTAGAGTTGCACCATAAATCTGCCAACATATTCGTAAAAATTACCGATTTTCCTTGTTTGTTTTCTTTCCCGAGGCTTTTGACAACTACTGGGAATTTTAGATTCTGAGCTGAGCGATGAATTTATGGGTTTTTCAATGATGTGTGTTTTTTAATTTTGTTGTAATTTTTTTTTTTTATGTGTCATCACCGTTTGGCACAGTAAAACTACTTCGATTTTCTTGAACAGTATCTTGTTTGATGTAATTATATCCATGAGACATTTTCGATTTTTATTATGTTTTTTAAATTAATGAAGAAACTGGTCCCTCACACCTGCTCAATTTCCTAGCTAGATAGCGCTGCCATATACGATTTACATGATGAGAGGATGTGGTGGTCCATCAGGATACTTTTTAGAAACATTTATTGAACTTTTATTGAACTTCAGCATAGACTTAGTTCAGGAGGGAGGCTTCAGGAGGGCTTAGCCCCCCCCCGAAATTTTAATGGATTTCCACCTATGGGCTTCAGATCATGTTTGTCCACTACCAAGGTATTCTAAATATATGTCCTAGAAAAATCGTCAAAAATAATAATATTTATTATTACACCAGGTGGATTACATGTGGAAATACTGCAATGATTTTTTCAAATGCAATATTTTCAGAAAAAAATAAGTTCAACTTTCTGTATTAGGTACCTACATATTTACTAATGTATAATAGTAAAATGAACACTTTAATATCAATAATACCATTAAAATTTAAATATACCTAGTAATATAGGCTAATAATATACCGTCTTCACCCAGATTTGTTATTCGTATACAATGATTTTATATCATTGAATTCAAATTTAGCACATCCATTGCAGTGACTTCTATAGACTTAATAATGTACAGCAGAACGTTACCCATTTGCCGGCTATTTTTTCTTTTATTGAATACTGCTTTATTTTCAATAAAATAAAAAAAAAAATTTTGTATGATACATCTTGATACCTTTTATAGGTAAGTAGGTATTAAGTATATCCATAAGTCATAAATATAATTTATGTAAAATAAAACAAATGTGTTAGAAGCTTTACTATCTGTTATTCATAGTTTAAAATGTATAGATAATCATTTTCAGAAGCATAAACCATCATCTAATTAGGTACCTAATTTGATTTAAAATATGAGTACATAAGTATCTATATATACCTATACTTATTTTAGTATTCTTATTTCCTACTACAACTAAATATTACCTACTACCAAGATATCAGGTTTTATAAAAATATATGGAAACAATTGTGTAGAGTTCAATTTTTCGAATGCCCTTTTTCATGACCAACATTTTAGTAGAATAAAAATACGGAAACAATAAAAATAGGAAGAATTAAGAAAGAATAAGGAGAATAAAAATAAGGAAGATTGGGTAAGTACGGGTTAAAATATTTTGTAATGGGTATTGTACTATTGTGGAGAAACTCGTATAAGATACGGTGCGTAGTGCGTACAGAAGGTTGATTTGTATCATACATAGTCAATCACCAACCGAATGTAGGTACCAAGTTTAAGTTATTGAGCACTTAATCTATACGTATATATAGATACTAAATAGATAATTATGTTTATGAATTATGATCTAATAATAATGATATATCTAATACCTAAATAATAGTATATTATAGTAATAATCATATAGTAATACTTAATACTACTAATACTACCATCATTATACTATAGGTATTACGATAAATGATAATAGTCAATAAACTTTAATAATATATATTCTATGGATATTGTAGAGTCTATGTAAATAAGGAAAGATGGATAGGTAATGTACATTGGTGGATCCAGGGGGGCAAAGGGGCATTTGCCCCACCCCCCAATCACCGTTGTTTACATTTTTTTTACACTGTGTTTAACCAATTTTGTAGCCAAATTTTGTACTGTTTGTATTTTTCCCCCAAATTAAGCCCCGGATCTACCACTGGTAATATAAGGTTTGGTGGAGATAAATAATTAACACATTAATATAGTTAATAATGCAAGATAATTAGTTGTACGATCATACTGGTTGCTCGAATAACTCAATATAGGTACATGCAAGTTTGAACACATTCGTTTGAATGGTAAAAATATTATCGAAGTGTATGGTGGCCAATGTCGGTCTGGCCCACCCGGCTACCCGGCGATCGCCGGGGGCCCCTGAATATTTTCATGTATTAAGGGCCCATAGCTAAATGGAAAAAATATTATGTTTACTCGAGATTCCAGACTTGGGTTCCAATCGAATCAACTTATAAACATTGGACCATTGATTATAAATACTAGTATTTATAATCGATGATTTAATATTGTAATATTATTGAGGCCGGTGATTGCAATAACGCTATATTAAGTCGATATAAAATCTTTAGATTAATGCCATATACATATATAACTATATTATATCTATTAGCCGTGGTCGGCAGTCACCACTGACGAGAAAAAATAGATTTACGATAATTTTCCAGTAATAAGGTAGTAAGGTACACCCGTCACTTATACACTGATACGAGACACGAGTGATACACACGGACATACAGACACGCACGTCGCACACAGACACTCAAACTTATGCTCGCTAATCGCTATTCGCTGTACATAAATCGCTATCAAATACTTTATGAAGTAACATTAAAATCGGATTTTTTTTTTAATATTATTATTGATCAAAATAACTTCGACAACAAAGGCCATTAGTTAATCTGATTTGTTTAATACTTTATATTTAACAATGAAAATATATATTTTAGTTCTTCCTTGGGAACGATTTTTGTTTGACGACCTATCAATTTTTTATTTTAAAAATGTGTATTTAAGGGTGCTTTATAAAAATGTAAGCAAAAAAAGCCCAGACAAACTTCGTTTTGAAGTTATTGAAAAAAAACTTCAAAAACTACATTTTTTTCGTTACGAGCATTTTTAAAAAAAAAATTCTTAGAATTAAATAACGGTCTGACAAAAAAATCGAAAATATCCCCCTATTTGCTGTATTAAACCTCTATGGGTAGGCCTCAGAATTAAATAGAGTTGTTAAAAAGAACACAATCGGCTAGCGTTGCTACTCGCTTGCTGCTCAAAAAACACCAAACACGAGTTTCTCCTCTCATCATTAAAGTAGTGTTGCGCACATGCGTATAAACGTAAAATCACAAACTTTGGATGGCTATAACTTCAAAACGAAGTTTGTCCGGCCTTTTTTTTACATTTTTATAAAGCACCCTAAAATACACATTTTGGAAAAAAAAATTTGAATAATCGATAGGTTGCTACACCAAAACATGGTGTAGACTGTAGAGACTTTCGAGTTTATTATATTGAGTTTTGTTAAGTGTATAAAAGTATTAGGTACCTACCTAATATTTGCCTAATGGTCTGAAAAATCTTGAATTTTGACTATTTTTGAACAAGTGGTTGAAAAAAATCCATTCTCCCTTACTCCTAGAAGGTACTGATTTAACTATTTTATAGTTCGAGTACAGTAAGTTGCATGATTGAGTTTGTTCACGAAGAGGGGAAAGATCGTTATTTTCTATGTCGTGAATAAGATTCAGGCTTCTTCATATTATGTTATAGACTATACCTATGGGCTATGTCCTATTATAGTCTATATCTACCCAACCCCACTACCCGCAGAATGTGAGTTTTATTAATCAATGTCTGCTAATTTTCATTTACCGTCAAAGCTTAACAAGCTTAATTGTTTCGATATAGATTGTGGTTAACGGCGTTTACGTTTCAGCGAGAGCTTTTAGCCATAATGTAAAAATACTATTGACGTGTATCGGTGCAGACGAGTTGATAGTTAGGTAGGTACTAGGTACCTACAAATCATTTACGTATAATAAAATTCATCTCACATTAATATATATGTTAATTTATTAGCACTGTCTAATGATTCAATTTTAACTTAAAAGTTAAAGCTGTTTATAATAATATAATTACCGAGTAGCTATGAATGGTGGTCTGAGATAGTCCCTACATTGATTTATCTATGTAGGGTTTTATAGAGATTAAAGACGGAATTTAGCAATTTACTTAATATTAATATTTAATTTTTAATTTTTAGTAATATAAAAATAATAGCAATTAATTATATTTTCATTTATTTCGTTCGATCATACTTTATAGGTAATAAGTGGGTGAGTAGGTTGTAGGAACCTGATAACTAATAAGTAGGTAGGTATAATTACAAAATATTCAATACATTAATTTAACTAAGTTTATTTACATATTGTGGTAAATATTTTACATTCATTTACGATAGAACATCCAATGTGATAAATTCATTAACAACATAATAATTTATTATACACCTCATAGAGAATAATATTTGATTATTATTAATTTGCGTAAATATAGTCTTAACTCGTATTATAACATTGTAAACAGACGGAGGTTGAGCGATGACAGGAGGTAGGTATTATTTACAAATAAATTAAAATATAATATAATAATAGGCCTGTATGGGTAGGTAGGTACCTACCTACTTACAATAGTTTGATGGTAGGCAGTAGGCACATCGTAATTATAAATAACGTACTTTAAAAGTACGTTTAAAAATTTGTATAGCTGAAATTACTACAAAATGTATTAATCCATAAATAAATAATACATATAAATTACAATATTTTTGAAACTTGTTGAAAGTTATCACTTATTAGTTATACTAGGCCTTTGGTTTATTTTTTATTTATCTGTTGTTCTTGGTTCAGCCATATTAATACCATCAAAAGATATGTACCTATATCCTTTGACCAAGTTCAACAACAGAATCGGTGTACCCAAGTACACGTTTATATTATAATATATTTTTTTAATAGGATTACTTCTCGTATACATTCCGGTAGTTTCGTATCGGGTTTTGGTGGGATACTATTAGTAGGAAGAATGCAAATGAAAAATGTATACCTAAACAATACACATAATACAATATTAGGTATATAGGTAGTATGAATAGTATGTAATGCGTATTATAGTCTAAATGGAATAGGCCAACCTCCGATAATTTGTTTACTTTAATATAAATACAATATAACAGTTCAGTATTTCATTAGCATTAATATCGGTATTAACATAACAGAGTTGATGTATCGTATTATGTTTGAAGATGACCTAGGTAAACGGTGAGATTGATCTTTGAGTGCTGGTGAATTGCTTGAAGAATTGCGTCCCGTGTTTCTATTTTCATAATCGTCTTCTTCAGAATCAAATTTATTGATAGCATTATCGTCATCGTCTTCGCTAGGTGTTCTGGGCTTAGATAAATCCATTTCTGTTGATAATTACGCAGTGTTATTTAAACAAAAAAAATGTTTGGTTTAAATTTATTGATTTACGTTTATATTTTGTAAGCTAAACTAAAAAGTTTATAAGGTTTGGATATTACTGTAAAGAGGACATATTTTAAATTTCCTTTAGAATTTTCGGGAAAATCACGAAACACGTGAAAATAAAATACCTAAAGGTTTTTGTAAATTATTGATCATGTTTGGATAATTATTTAAAAGTTAAGCTCTAATTACAGTCAATTTTTTAAATGTAATGGTTTATAATTCCTTCAATTTGAATGTTTTTTTTTATAATATATTTTAAAGATATTCCTTTTCCCAATTTGTGAATTTGTAACTCCTGTACTATAATTTTTTTTTAGATTTTGAGTAAATGAAGACTGTATTGGATCAACAATTAAGTATACATTAATTTGTCTATTCTAATTTAAAAGAAAATATTAATTTACTTACCATATACTCTAATATTTCCTTCGGCTTCTCCATTGAATTTTCGATATGCATTGTATCCTCCTAAATCTGATTTTTAAGTTTCCTAATTGTCAGTTTCATCGTGAGCCTGTACTACGAAACTGTTATTCTGTCATAGTGTACTTGTCCTTTGAAATTATCATGCTCTCCTAAAATATACATTAACCCGAAATTTATTAATTTTTCAATACAAAGTTCTGTTTTAATGTGTATGGTTTTTAAATTTTTTTTTAGTGTTTATTAAATCATTACAATTTACTATGTCATAAACCGTTTTTTTAAATTATTATTAATTTATAGCATATTTTACAAAATGAAGTGAATCATCCCAAGTTAAAAATAATCTAAATATGTGAAATTCTCGGTCATTGTGATTTTGACCGCTATTTGGAAGTGTCCGTTATTCAGAGGGTTCAGTTTGTATACAGTTTTTAGTTCATTTTAAAAAAAAACCATCCTCTATGGGGGGGGGGTAGGTGGGGTGAACAAATTGTAGTGTAAATTATGAATATTCTGTGTCGCACGGTAATTAAACTTAATAATTGTTTTCTGAAAAGATTACTGTGTCATACTATATGTGATGGTGTTTATCTACTGCATCAATATAATAGGTAGGTACCCCCCTACTTGATTTGGTATAAAAACGTCTGGGGTGCGGAAATATTTGATGGTCAATCGATCTTAAACTTTTTTGTTCATCCATTTTGTCTTGGCCCATTTTATATAAACGGCTCTGGAATATATTAATACAATGCATTTTACTTGACAATATCTGTTACCGGAAATGTTGACATTAGGAATGATGACAATTCTAGTAAATGTGACAATTCCTAAAATCGGAGGGAAATGATATCATCGCCTAGTATATGTTATCATTTCCTAACGATAGTAGGCAAAGATGCCACATTTTTTAAATTTAATCTGACTTATTTATTAAATATTACTTTTATCAAACATAATTATTAATTAATCTACTATCACCTTAATAAATAATCAATAATGAACAAGTACTTTTTAACAGATGGCCAATCTGTTGATTTGTTTCCGCCATCATGTCTCCAACAATCTTCCACGTACCGGTTCACACGTTCTATAGACCCCTGACTTTGACTATGTCTTGGTTTTGTGCATATTTTAAATCACCCACATAGTATGTAATTCATTAATTACACTATTAACAAAGTCTCTCCCATTATCGGAATATAGAATTGCTGGCGCTCCAAAAGTTGTATAAATTTCCATTAAGTTATATGCTATTTCTTCTGCTCGTTTAGTCTTTAGTGGTAACAAATTTTGTCAAGTGATCCTGATAATTCATTATAAATCTGTAATTGTTTATACTCTTTAAAATCGGTTATCACAATCGACATAAGCCCGTGTTTGATATAATTTCATGTCTCCGCACATATATATAAAATAATTTTATTCGTGTGTCTCCGTTTCTCATTTAATTTGAGTTCGACAACATTATTAGTTCGATAGTGTCTACTATAAAAAGGACTATAATATAAAGTTGTATTTAATTAATTAATAATAATTATAATTTGTATCAAAATAATATTTATCAATTTTTACAGTAAAATATACATTTTTAATATCATTTTTAAAAAAAAATAAATTAATAAATGTCATTTTATGCATTTTTTTTATATATATTTAGATCATCAAATTCCAGGCCCTAGTGATAACATTGCCTAATAAACTACGGAAATGATGACAATTCCTAGGCGGTGATAACATTTTCTTCCGATTTTAGGAATTGTCAACATTTACTACGAATTGTCGTCATTTCCTAAATTGTCAACATTTCCGGTAACATATACATATTTAAACTTTAAATTTAATTATTTTGATCAAGTTGTGTAGACACAGAATAGAATTCCATCGTCAGTAAATATTTTAATCAAACTGAAGTTACTGTTAATCTACGCCATACTAAAATTACTAAATAAGATATTGTTTTAAACTTTTGAACATCTGTTATATTTTATTCTTAAGATTTAAAATTGTTTGGTTATGTATGATTATTATTTAAAAAGATAACATATTTTCATAAAAAATATAAAAAATAAAAATGCATCAAAATCGAGGAATTACTCTATAGCTTATACCTAGGTTTCAAATGTATGTACCTCATCAATCATCATCATTGAGTTGGTCACTATTCGATGGATGTGTTAAGTTTTAATTCAATGATAAACCTTGCATATGATAAACTATTCTGCAGAGTGGAAACTGATTGTCACTTTGTCAGTCATTATTTCTAAGGAATAAGGATACTAATTATTAGGTAGATTCTACCTATCTATTATAATATTCTATTCCGATACACTACAGCACCAAAAAAATCTGTTAAATACTTAAATGTAAACATAGTGGCAAAATTATTTTATTTCTTTGATATTGTACCATGTCGTTTACTTGTGTATAAAATATGTATTGTGTAGCAGTAGTAGTTTTACCTAGTTAGGTTAGACTTAGATTATTCAGATTAGATTTGTTTTTGGTTATCGAGAATAGTATGATAAATTTTTATTTGCGGTGTTTATGTGTCTAATTAAACATCAACTTAGGTGTTTCGTCAAGACGTGCCAACGACCAACGCACATTAGGTATGTTTCGTGTGTTTCGATTATATTAATTGCTAAATCTAACATTGAACACCCGTTGTTTAATCAAATATCTAAAATGTCTACTTATAATAGTATAATTATATTTAACTAAGTTATTTTTAGAAAATCATTTATTTTATTATTTATTCATTTTTAAAACATTTTTATCATTTATTAATTTATTCAATACGTGTTCTGGGAAGTCTCCTACACTACAATATGTATCTTCCAAACTAAATTTGAGAATGAAAAAAATAATTATACAATATTATGTGTGTAGGTAGTTTAATTGATTTATTAGTATTTGTTTGCGCTCGTCTGTATAAAATTCGCAATCTGAAATCCCAAGTTACTAATTATGTTTGACAGCTATGGACGTTCGAATTATATTATGCACTATGCAGTGACTACCTACTGATTTCCATCAAAGTTCATGGAATACAATAATCAATATATTAATTTATTGGATGATATTATGCATATCTGCAATTCAACATTACTAGTTTATATAATATACACACAAACAGTCCAAACTTGAAGCTTAGAAAGTACCTACTACTAGTTAGTATACTTATTGGTTATTACTTATTACTTTTGTATATTATAATTTATATTCAACAAAACTAGTTATAAAATACCTATGTATTATGATATATTAATTAATATGGGTAATATTATGATATGAAATATTAACATTTGTAAATTAATTAATTATAATCAAGTTTTCGTAGTTCATTATTATTATGAATTTATTATATATGTTCATGTGTACCTTAGGTTAGCAAGCAAGCAAGCAAGATGTTATGTTTTCAATAAATGAAAAATTTGAATTCTTATAGAATACAAATATAGTGTAATGTATCTTTCAACAAAAAATAATTTTTTAATTTTTTAATTTTTGCTTAATACTTATTTTATTATTTCTTATTTTAATCTTCAGGTTTGCTTATAAATAAAGTTTGATTTTAACTTTTAATTGTAAAATTGTTATCATCTATATTATTATATTATATCATATTAATTTTCTATTAAAGATATTTTCTTTTTATTAGTTCTTTACTATTAATACTTAAAAAATAAGTCCTATCATAAATATTAAACTGAGTGTTAGTTAATCAATTTAATTCTTGCACTACAACTATAGTAGATAGTATATAGGATAAATGTATTAATTTTTTAATGAGTTGTTTATTTATTTTTTTTTGCTTTGGTAAGTAGTTCCGTTCCTGGTTCTCGGTTCAAACAAGGGGAAAAATAGGTATAGAGGGATCCAAAGTTAAATATTCTTATTCAGAATAACCAGAAAAATATGAAGGTAAAACGGGAATTTGGCACAAACTCGTTTTGTAAGCTTCTACCTATTTTCCACTCACCTGGAATGTATGATCTAAGTTATTATTCTTAATTTATGCCCGATCGACCGAGAACACAGCATATATTATACTGGAGGTTATTGGTATAATATATTATATGTATATACTTTTTTTTTATTTTATCAAAATCCAAAATTTTGAACCCTTAACCACATTTTACACTTATTATGAAAATTACCACTTATAATTTACTACCTGTCCTGTCCGATGTCAACTTGTACAGGCCAAAGATTTGTATTTTTAATATTTGTACACAATTTATATGCCATATTTCTCCTAATTTATTATTATATAGCTGATCCCGTGCACTTCGTTACCCGTAATAAATGTCAAATCTTAAAAAAAAATTGTGATTGTTCATCCTTGTAGAGATTTATTACTTTAAATATTAAAAAAAAAAAACTAATATAATTAAATCACACAAGATTTAAACCAAGTCATCAACAAAGTGTCATCGGTGGGTGGCTTCTTTCCCCAAATTATTAATTTATGTTATTTGTTCCTTCTTATCACACATATACTTATTATGACTAGGTATGGATTGTATATATTCTTTAAAAAAAAAAAAAATTGTTCAACTTCTTTTGGGTGTAACTTGCTACAGTAAGTGCAATTCAGCCACCCCGGTACCTAATTATTCGACTATGTCGGATCGCGGACAATGTGCGACAGCGTAATATCACGTAGGCATTGAGCGAAATTTAAATTGCATACATGCTTGATCTGCCCGATTAACCAATGACAACTAATATACAAATAAAAAACTGATTTCTTCTAATTATCATTTCTCCTATAGTCAATAACAACCATTTATAAATAACAATTTCCCTTAAATCTCAAAATCCCTGTTTGAGCCCCTCCCCGGGTTGGATCTACCTGGTTCAATTGTGAATCTAAATCATCCAGGGAATCACTCAAACGCACCCAAAATTTTCCGGTAAAGCACGATTGAGCATAAAACGATTGAGCATAGACCTTTTTAGCAACACGATTGAGCATAGTTTATTTTATGCGATGTTGCCACATTCACGTTGCCAACATTTTGTAATTTATTATTTTCTCGTATTATTACACCAATTATTATGATATCTGACGCGAGCCGTGAGCTATATCGACTTTATCAATTTTATCGACAATGTTATCGATTAATAAATTAGTTCCGGAGCAAAACGACGTTTTAAACATTTAGCATCGGGAGAAAATATAAGATAATTAAGATACAAATCCAAAATTATTATAGAAATAATATCAGTGTTCGATCACCTGTATAGTGTATAGTGCTTGTATACTTAGTGCGTTTTTCTATTTTTTTTAAATATGGATATAACAATTATTTTATCGGAAAGAGGCAAAGAATTGGCCCTAGTTAATTTATACAAGTATAAATTAATGTTATATTTTGTTATGTTATATTTCATGTTATATTTTGAAATATTATAATTATTTAAATAAATGTTTTTATACGATACAGTTCAAAATTGAAAATGGCAACGTTGCAGAGTTTTTTATGCTCAATCGTGTTGGTTTTCTTTTGTATTTCAATTTCCTTTGATACGCCGACAATTTATGCTCAATCGTGTCGCAAAAAAGGTGTTTTATGCTCAATCGTGTCGCAGCCAAATTTTCATTTAAATCGGTCCAGCTGTTTAGGAATGCATATAGGTCATACAAACAAACATTCATTTTTATTATTGTTATTATTTTTGACCACCCAATTAATTTTTTCCAAAACAAATTATTCATTAAAACCTTCCCCGTGACTCAACCGATCTATTAGTGAAAACCGTATTAAAATCCATTGAGTACCTACTATTCGAGATATGCGCGTAGTGCGTACATACAAAAAAGGCTGATTGTTAGATACAAGAAAGGGACATTATTGAAGCTGTAGTAGGGATCCTTAATGTTTTTTTGTAATAAATATAGCCTATGTTACTCAAGGATAATGTAGTATTCTAATGGTGAAAGAATTTTTGAAATCGGTTCAGTAGTTTTTGAGTTTATTCGTTAGGTATACTAACATTTAAATCTTTCCTCTTTTTAATATTATAACTTATAAGTATAGATTTAGATAATCACGACATAATTATATATTTTTATTTTATATATAATATAATATATATATATATAGATTATAGATAGATTTAGATAACTACATAATTATATTTAATATAATATATGTGTATTAATTTATATATTTATATAATTTACGGTTATAATAAAAAAAAAATTTTAATACATATTAATTTTATATTTAGTTACAAAATTATTTATATTTAAGTATTTAACACATACTAAAGGGGGCGTGGTGACATATACCCCCAAACACCTCCCTTGTATAAGCCACAGTCTACTATATATACAATTACCCTGTGCATATTACGTGTAAAGCTTAAACCCTATACCTTTTGAACGTGCGTGCTTCAATCCTAAGTAAACAAATGAAAACTTAAAAACATATCATAATAATATAATAATATATATCCCACCGATGCCAATGCGGATAATATGATATCAGATATTATATCTGAATTAATGATATTTAAATCCATTAAAGTGGAATATTTTATTAATGTTTTACGACTATCGGATCTGCGGACTGTTTCGTACAAAAAAACGTGAAACTAAAATCATAAGTACCTATATATACCTACTTACCTACCTATATCATATTATTATACAGTTTATTACTTCTGTTTCTATATGATTATGTTGCATGCGTTTAGATTACGTATATTTTTATTCGATCACTAGTAATTCTCTATCGTAACTCAATTAATTTGTTCTAAATTATTTGATGAACATAATATAATATTATATTACATTATAATGTAATATATATATTATATTGCTTTAATAATACACTAGTAACACACGCATTTTGATAAATTAGACTCGCTCGCGGTTCGTATAACGGTTACTAAACAGTAAACGCGGCAATGTTGTAGAACACGAGGGGATCCTATTTATTTGTTTGTTTTTAAAGCGTTAACTTTTCAAACATTAATTTGCTTAGCCTGTTGGCCCATACACACACATACTCACACAAAAGTATAGAGTGGATTTTAATTGAATCGCATATAGGTAGGTATATGTGAGGTACCTATACGCGTTCATATAAAATACCACGATAATGACCCGTAGGCATTTGAGCTCCGGAGGGACGCGGTGCGTGTGCACAACTACACACCACTATGTAGAGCAATACACAACGCAATGATACAATTTAATACGGGAACACAACACTACCGTTGGCGGGGTAAAAGAAAAATATATATATCGTATAAATATTCATACTTTGGCGAGTCGTCGTCGCCATCGTCATTACGTGGACATTGTACTCCACTACTACTACTAAATACGTATATATAGGTACCACTGCCCCTCACTATTGGTGGGACGACGACCGACGATCGCGGGTAAAAGTTGCAAGTGATCGGGGGCGAGCGCGGAGAAGGGATTGCTGCAGGTCGGCAGGGGATAAACACCGTGCGCGGGGTGCTTTTAACCCTCCTAACCGGCACTCACACACACACCGGTATGGCGGTGGGTACACATGATGGGGTATACTACTATATGTATGGTATACATAGGTACCTATATAATATGCATCTGTACACACATACACATAGACGCTACACACAGTGACGCGGTGTACCGGATAGAATTATTTGAAAAATATGTAAATTACATTTATTAGCATGGCTTTGAATAAAGTGTACACACCGTCGCGGTGGTGGTCGGAGCTTTTTAAAGGCATCGTGCGGTGGTGTGGCGAGGGTGAACGGTGAGTGGGTGAGGGATGAGAGGGCACTGAGAGCAGTACAAAATTGGCCGGGGTCGTAGATTTTGCAACGCCACCAACCGGCGGCTGTGGCGGTGGTGGTAGAGCACGCGTAGCCTTTGAACCAATACAATTATATTGTCAACCTAGCCGCTTCCCTCTTCTCACCCCCCTTCCCCCAATCACCACACACACACACACACAAACTAACAACGTCCTCACCTTAACCACCCCATTCATAATATTATATTGCATTTGGCCTTTGTGTTCTCTATTGTGTCATCACATTACAAAAAAAGGCTGGTAATATTTTTTTTATTCGGACGTTAATTTTTTTTTGTCTTTATGGATTATGTATTACATGTGGTGCCTAATGTATCATTGCAATTCATTTAAATTTTTAACTATTATTTTCTATATTATAATAATATTATAATATAATTTAGAGCTGTGGTCTTCAACTGGTAGCGGGTCGCGTGAGCTGCAGAAATGGGTTACGATATACTTTTAGTACCTATTTAAGGTATATATATATTGTAGGTACCTACGAAACAATTAATATACAATTAACATGATAATAATACTAAATTAATTAAAACAATTTCTGTTTTTGCACATATAAACTAGGTAGAATTTATCAATTAGCTTTTTGAAAAAATATAATTGGTCACAAGCAATAAATAGTAATAGTAAAATGGGTAGTTATTGTTGTTTTATTATTTTTGACATGGAATAGTTTATTATAGGGTGTTTTCATATTGTTTTAATAGAAATCACTGATTTACCAACTATATGTTTCGTAATTGTGTTTGTGTAGAGTGTTCTAATTCTAATAGTAAACTTTTAGGTTCTAAAGTCTAAAGTAAAAATGTGAGACTTAAATATAATTTTGAAATATCCATTTAAGAGTAAATTGAGTTGAATTCGGCTTAAAACAGTTTTCGAAAGAGATGTTTTATCATTGCATTCAAATTTACTATAAATATATTAAAAATTAATTGTGATAAAATAGAAGAGATTTGATTCTATAAAATATTTTCAAGTTTATTTTTAATTAATTATAATAATTATTAATTCTTATATATTTACCCGATTCTCTCGTCCAATAATTGATTGACTTTGGTGACGCTTCGACATAGCATTGAAGTGTTATGTCCGTTTTCTGAGGTGCTCCCACTAGTTGATTTGGAACTTGAACCAATGGATGAACTGTAATGAAAAAGTATATTTAAGTTTCTGTATTTTATGATTTATAAAAAGATACTTAAGCGGAGTGGGTTTATATAATAAATTCATTGAATTCCTATCTCCCATCGTTCCATAAATCTAGAATATTTATATTGCTACATTTCACTCGCTCTCACTCGCTGAACTGTTTTATAGGAATTTCATTTTCGACAAATATGTAAGAGCAAACTTATTTTGTTTTATCGAAAAGTTATTTTAGGCTATCTTAAAAATTTAGTTACAACCTACAATGTTAATTTGCCAAATTGGAGCCACCAACTTTTTGATAAATATTGCATTTTGTTTCAAAATAATATTCATTCCCACCCTTTCATTCGTTTCTTCTTTTCGTTAGAGTTACACAGAAATTGAAAAGTAACTAATTTTGTCGGCTTTCAGATGAAGTAAGTTTTTAATTAAAAACTGAAAGTTTCCGTGAGACCAGATTACAAAATCGATTTCCATTACTTATGCAAGTGTCCCCTTGGCATCTGTCCGGTGTTAGTGATACTTGGTTAAATATTTGAATATTTTATGAAAACTTTGTTTCTTTTTTGGTTTTACATTAATTATATTGACCTTCATCACGGAGATCTAAAAACCGAATTGGCATAAGTTATGTTAAATTTATTTCTTGGTTGGGTTTTGTTTTATAAAATATTTTAAATAAGAGGTGACAGTTGACAATTTACATTCATTGTCTTATTGTAAAATTGTTGAGTTAAAAATTATAATAATAAAATATGTTCTTATAAGAAATAAGATGTTTAAATATATATTATATTCTTAGAACCAATATGAGTACTTGTTTTTTTTTTTCAAATCTATACATATTATAGACTAGAAATTGTTATTGTAAACAAATGTCGATATTTAAATTGAGCTTAGTGACACATTTAGAAAACATACAGTATTTAAGTCATCAATAGATTTAGTATCTATATAATAAACATATTCTTGTTTATGTACAACATATTATGTTAGATTAGGATTTTAAAGAAAAAATTTACTTTAAAATTTTTATTCTTAGTGTTATGATTAACTCTTATAATCAAATTTGATATAGTACATTGAATAAGAAAATATTTTTGAATATTATAATTATGTTGTTTTTTTATGTTTAAAATGTATTGCATATTTTTGACATCAACAACGATTTTAGGTAATAGCTGATAAAATCATATAATTATTTTATTTACCCTGTATAATATAATAAGTATTATGGATTGCATTAAATTAGTTGACAGAACCAAATATCGTTGTTTAATTTTTTATAAAACATATAGTTTTAAATTGAACACTTCATCAAATTTTCTTTGTAAAAAAGTTTAAAAATCTATGTGAAGTCTATTAATAATGATTAATAATATGCTAAGTTTTTAGTTTCACAGGCCAATAACGAAAAATAATATATTGTAAAAACTGAAATGCAGGTAATACATATGAGCAATATGTACAAATAAAAAACACTATTTTTCCTACAATAAATCATATACAATTTTGTATGTTAAAGAAAAAAAAATGTTCCTATGCATTAGGTATATTCGATAACCATAATAATATAAATATTGTTGCGTTGATCAATTTTTACACACAAATGTAAATTCTTATTCGTATGGTGTTTTTGAAGTTTTCATAAAAATATTTTAAATAAACATGGGAAATAAAGTATTTAGGTATGCTGAAAAGGTACCAAGATATTTATGCATAAGGATAGTATGATTAAACAACTTCCAAAGTAATTAGAATTCATGGAAAGGTTACTTCAATACATACAGAAGCACCAAATAAAGTTGTTAGTGAATAATCTAATTTATTTATAATTTGATAAAAACACGTTAACTAAATGTATTATTTAATTACAAATATAAGATTATTAGTATATTATCAAAGGATAGAATAATTTTGACAATAAATCTTAAAATTTGAATATCATACTCATAATAAGTTTAGAATTTTACTAAAGCCTTAATGTATTACATATAATTTGTGTTCATATTTTATTGTTCAATTTTATTTATATCAATCCACTTAAGTTTCATATTTTTCATGTTGCCAACATTTTAAAAGTAACACATTTATACAAAACTATAAAATTATTGTATAATATGAATTATATTATTTTTGACGATTGACGTAGCTAAACTAATAAATTTAGTTTAATCATAATATATTTTAAAAGTGTGGTATATAGTATTATAGTTATTAATTTTTTTTATGAGTAAGTATACTTGATTTTTTATTAAAAAATATATATTGTTTAACATTTATTTTTGATTTCTTGTAATTTAGCATGGAATAAAAAAAAATATAACTACCTACTATGTGATTAATAATTTAATGTGAAATAGTCTTTAAATTAAAAATTACTTACGTTTTTGAAAATGTTTTTTTCACACAGTTTTTAGTCGTAATTAATCGTTACAAAACAAAATTTTTGAAACTTTTTTATAGTCACCATTTTTTAAGTTTTACTTTTTAGAATGACAACATACGTTATTTCATATTCCTAAGCAGAATATTATTTGAAGTATTTTGATGTATAAAAATCAAATTTCTGATAAGTGGTTAATTAGTTATTAGTAGGTATTTGAAGTTTTTACGAGCGGAGTCTTCAGTGGACCAACATTTTGCGGGGTATCCACTTCATTCCGCTCATCAAAACTTTAAATACTTATATCTCATAAGCTTCTCGTTAAAAATTCGATGTTAATATATCGATCTAATATATTAGTTTACAGTCAGGCTACGATATAGATGATAAAAATATAATGTGATGTAATATTTTTACAGGGCTTGAAACCGTAAATATTTTTTCCGATTTTGGTTTCGGTTATCGGTATTTACTTTTTCCGATTTTGATTTCGGTTTCGGATATCGGTATTTATTTTTTCCAATTTCGTTTTTAGTTTTGAATACCGGTTTTTATTTTTTTTAATTTTGATTTTGATTACCGGTATTGATTTTTTTCGATCTTATTTTCAGTTTCGGTATCGATTTCGGGTTTTAACGGTTTTAACCGGTATTCAAAATTGGTATCAAATATCGGTTTTAAGCCCTGTAATTTTAGTTCTTTAAATTATCAGGATTAAAGTTATTATAATTCAACAATTATTGTTCACATTTTTTGGATACCACAAAGTATAGTTAAAACAGAATAGATTTAGCGTTTCACTCCCAATTGTAATTGTTTTACAGGAAACTTTATTAAAAATTGTACATAAATATGTATTTTATGCGTTGATTACTTAGTTAGGTATAGAAATTACAGATTATGGTTTATATTTTGTTGTCACTTATTATTATACAACGAATGGAATATTTTATGAAATTATTTAAAATAGCATTTGGTAGTTAGGTAGGTACCACGTAAAGAAAATAAATTATCTGTTAAAAATATATTATTTTGATTATTGTCGGTTTTTAATGGGTATCTACATTGAACGAGTGAGTTAGGCTGTAATTTAAGAATAAATAAATTATTTTGAAACTAATGATAACACTATTTCGAAAACGTATTTATTATATACGGTTGTTTCTATCTTCCTCCTACCATAGAGAATGATAGTAGACAGGAGTGGTTTGTTCGACGACTATTTATTCCGGCACCAGGACAAATTCCATTATAGCGGCCAAAAACGTCAACGGACTCTAATGAACAGCCCTTTTAAACAACACATTCTATGCAGCAATACCACCAAACAGATTAACGTTTGTCTCGTCACAACCAAGACAACTAGTATAACCCTTCCCTAATTAATTATTGACCATTCACCTCGTTCACCAATGGTGGTGACAAATGTGTCGTATTTTATATATGGTATTAAAACTGTCAAGTTACGTTACGTTATTTACTGGTTGTAAACTAAAAAAGATTTATTAACATATATTATTTTTATGGAGTTAAAATTATACACTTACTACACATAGAAATTCATGGTGTTCCAGAAGATAATATTTTCAAATAATTATATGGAAAATAAGGGAGCATATAAATGGCATATATAAAATAAAAAAATATATTTCACGAGAAGATAAACTGAAATACTTAACTTAAAATTAATTAATACTTATTAATTTCATTCTCCAACTATTAAAATAACAACAGAGTGAATATAGGTGTACGATTACCATATTTAATAAAGTTAATTTACAGAATTTTATGATTTTTAAATTTGAAATATAATCTGACAGTTAGCAATTATTGAATATCGCGATCTGTTATAAAAAATAATATAATATTTGCATATTAATTGTGGAAAGTAAAAGTACAGGACGAAAGTGATTATTTTTATAGTTGTATAAATAACTAATTTTCCATTTTGTTACAGAGACATTTATTTAATAATTTATTAAATATTTTTGATAATATGTATTGAATGTGGTATGAAGAATCAGCAAATTTTAACATATTCATGTGTCATTGTTTCCCAAAAACATTTTGTACTCAACAATTCTATACCTAATTTTAGATAATTAATCGAATAACGTCATCAAAAACCAGTATTAAGTGTATAATTTGAAACTATTTTTACATATTAAACTTTTCTGTTTCATAGTATATAGATAAAATTTGGTTATTAATGATTTTTTTTATTAATGTGTAACTTCAATCGTTAAACATGTGACTTGCATTATATAACTAATTTATATTAACTAATTAATTTAGAAATGTGAAGTGTTCAGCGTATATTCGAATTGAAAAAAATTAATATTTAACCCACTATTTTATTCACGTTTGCTTAGCACACAATAGGGATCATCAACAATGCTTTACCGGCTTCATATCCACCCTTCTACCTAAAAAGTGATTTGTGAGGGGGTAATGGTTTTTTCTCTCCATTTTTGACGAGTTTTCTATAGTAAAAAAATAGCTCTCGTCGACAGCTGATTCCGTTTTGTACTGTATATCAGCTTTTATACAAATCAATATATATATTTTCTATAAATAATATATATATATATTTATTTTAAAAAGAGTGAGAGAGAATGATAGTAGAGATGGACGTTATTAATGCTCTTTTATACTTGAACCGTTTTCGATACCAGTGATAAATGCCAATCAGACCTAACCCTATCGGGACGAAAAAACTTTAAATCTGTTTTACTGTGCCATTGTTGAACGATCGCCAGGGGATGCTAGGTGGAGGAAATTACGTCGATTTTTCTTTTTTCCTCTATGTACCATAAAAAAATAATTTTTCAGCTATATCTTTATGTATAATATAATAGAATGTTATAATGAATAATTCATATAAATATATACTTACAATGAACGTGAAGCATCAGTCTTTTGCTAACCGATGGTGGTACACCGTTGGCCGCAATGCAAAGGTATGCACCCATTTCTGATCTTGTCACTTTTGATAAAAGTAATGATTCCCCTTCAACTGATGTCACTGAGATAAATTAAAAAAATATATTTCTATGGAATAAAATAGCAAAATATTTATAAGAATAATTTCCTTACTATATTTTACTAATAATTACAACGAAGGAAATTAAATTTTTTTTATAAAAAGAACCACTCTTTTTTAAATAAAATTAGAATATATATATAATGCTTAAGTATTTGAGCTATTATAGTTATTATAGTTAGTTATTATTATATATGCTAATAAGTATTTTATTTATGATATTATGTCTATAAAGTTGTACTTTCCTGTCTATACAATTATTTTGTATCATAAAAAACAATTATTAATATGCACTTATTATGAATTTTAAAATCGAAACCGGCTAATACACCAATACGTGTTTATAGTTTTAAAGTATAAAAATAAAGAAAAAAGTAGTAAAATATGTTATCAAAAATAGTTATTTAGTAATTTATGTACGTAGCTACTATACGTATTTTGGAGGTTTAAATAAATTTCAATAATAGGTAGAGGTACTTTTATATTTAAACTAGCCTACATACTACACATGATATAACATTATAATTTCATACTATGATTTTTTCTTGCTAATTAGTTTTTGTTATACCATCTATAATATCAGTACCTATATCGATATCATAATAAATTACTAAGATGCATTTTGTATATTTTTAAGTAAACATTTTGTAATTTATTATATTACTTTATAACACTAAAAAAACCGATGATATAATGTTTAATACCAATATTATCCTTTTTTATTTTCAAAATAATAAATAACGGCCCGTTCAAGAGCACTAAATACCTACGGGGTTAAGTTTCAAACGTAAACTTTGGCTTTCAAGTTTTCTTTTCTAACTGATATTAGTTAGTGGTATTTGCGAGTTTTTACATTATATAGATTAAACTACAGACTATACTTTTTATTGTGTTGAATGGATAAAATCAATTATATATTTGAATTTTGTCACGTGAAACATTATTGAAATGCTACTCTTCTTACTTTTAGTTTTTACTGTAGTTCCAGTTCTAACAATAATATCTCCTCCATCTTCTCTTTTCCATAGTATCTTTGGTTCAGGATATCCTCGAGCTTTGCAAATCAATTTAGCTGAACCACCTTCAGGGATCATCATATCTCCGGACGTGTCTTCATATACGATGTCTGGTGGTATAACTACTTCTAAAAAAGCACTCTACAAGCAGATATAGTAAAGGCAGTCAATAAAAAAAAATATATATTTATATATTACTAAAGTAAAGTAAAGTTGCGGTATATTTTACTTGGCTTTTCATTGGGTCCGTATTGACTTGACACATATAAGTGCCTCTATCTTCTCTTCGAACTGTCCTAACATTTAATGTCCATGTGTTATAATCGTTGTGCGTGACGGACAACCTTTCGTTGTTCGTAATAACATGTTCGTGGATAGCTAATATAGCCTTCGTATCTGCTTTAATCCAAGCAACCTGAGTACAAGCAACCATATGTTAGAACATAGAGATATCTATAATTCGTCATTCACAGCAATCATAAGTATGTGTTAGTGGGTTTTAATGAGTGTAAGTTGAATTAGTAAAAAAGTATTTTTACCTTAAAGATAATTTGATATTTCATAGTTAATACAAATAAGAACGATTTCATTTTTATCATCATACTTATGATTATTATTATTGTATTACACTTCGTAATTATTAAGATAATAATAATATTATTAGTCTACTCTAATAGTGCCATTTGTGCTATACAAGTGATTTCTTCTATAAAATATTTAAATATAATAGATAGTGCAGAAAATATACATGTGCTGGTATGTGCGGTTTTGTACTAAAATTGAGGTTTAGTATATGGATCAAAAGAGACTGTATACGATACGATGGAAATCCATTACGTAATGGGATTTGGTAGGGTGAATAGACGCGTATATTCAAATGTACAAACATACTAGAAATACTTGGCTTTTTTTAACCTACTTACTTTTCTATTAAAAAATGGCCCTTTGTAAGAACTATATAGATACGATTGGTTTGTATACAAGTATAGCACGCATTGTATTAGGAGGAATAATACATGAATTTTTTTGTATTATGTTTATCTAAACTCTTAATTTAAAATTGTTTTACATACCTATTATATAACGTGAATATGTTAAACTAAACATTTCATGTATAAAAACTATAAAAGTAATGTATTACTTCTATATGAAATTCACAGTTTTTTTTTTGGACCATGATGTTTATTTGTATTCAAAACTAATCATATTAGTAAAATTAATAGAATAAATTGTATTAAATATTATATATAATTTAATTATTAAGTATATTTTTATATTTTATTGGCTATTTTAAACGTTGGAATTTAAATATTTATGCTTAAGAGCCAATAAAGTACATATTTTACAATCCAAATTTTTCTACATTTAATTAAAATATAATTAAGTAATTTAAATCTACGTTCATAATATTATAAGTAAATCATTTTAGTTTTTAAGATTCTTTGAATGCATACCTAATAAGGTACACATTGTATCTTGAACCTCTAAATATGTCTCAACTTTTGTATTCAAACAATACAATTAATATTAAACAAGATAGAAATGACCAAACAAGCTTAAAAGAGAACATTTTTTCCCGCTCTACAACGCTTTTTAGTGTGTAGGTAAAGGTTTATTTAAGAGAATTGGAAAATTGGAGATGACGTTTATTGTACTCTTAGGATATTGTGTTTGCTGGTTTCTTAAAATTACTTTTTGGTCTCTCAAGGCATTGTGCGCCGTTGTGTCACATTAAAGCTTACATTCTGTAGTCATAACTGAGCATTTTGTTTACGACGGCGTTCTAAGTAGGCAATCGAGGTGTCTTGATGAGTAGGGTAACTATTTCTTTATAATTTCTTTGTGTTTACTTACTTATCATTTAATAAAAAAACATTGCAAAAGTGCCTGTTTAAATTGAAGTGGACGAGTTGATGTTTTTTCGTTTACACAATTTATTTTTTTTGTGATCGACTTAAACTTTTTTAAGGCTTGAAGTTTTCGGAATTCAACCTGCGTTTATTCTTTGGGTAGGACGTTGATGAAAAAAGGAAATTGAGAAATGTACTAGGAATGAGAATTTTACTGGACTACAGGTAAAGGATAAGCAACCATCGTCTCCTCGTAATTCTTTGTTACATTTATCTGTTTATGTTATCGAAACATCAATGCTGGTGTTTTCGTACTCGCTGTCGACCAAATACAATATTGTGTAACTTTTCACCCTCCCTCATTTCTTTATTTTTACTATGATGGGAAAAAGTATAAAGATGGGTCGATCACGTTTTGTCCCTAGCAGAAGTTTTGGCAACTTACCACCATATTAGAACTCACAGCACGAATGAAAATCGTTTTTCATTTTACCTTATGGACTATGTTAGATGATATTCAATATTAGAGTTAGTAGACACATACATAATATGCAGATTTAGTTTAATTCAGAATATGCCAAATAGAATATATTCTAAATTATTTTTAAAATCATTGAATCACTAAGAATAACTGTGTAAAAAGATATTTATTAAATAATTTTACTATACCTAAATATAATATACATCCAGTTAAGAAATGTATACATTTTTATTTTTATTCAGTATACCTACCTACATAATATGTGTAAAAATATATTACCTATATAATTTTATAAAAGCTTAATACCAAATGTAAGAATTCACATGCTTTTTACACACGGACACATGGTGATTAGTGCAACCATATTTTTCATTTTCCTATATTGGCCTAACTAGAAAACACAATGGGCCACCCCTTGTATTCTATAGGAAGTTTTTTTAACTAATCTGTTAATAGTAGTTTTAGTTTGGTATAAGTATCAATATAATTTAACGAGCGATATCTTTCTTCGACATTTCATTATTGCATCAAACGTCGGTAGGAGATAATTACGAATATTATCTATAAACTTGTCAATTCGACAGTTTTTTTTAGCTTTATTCGTTGGCCTAAAAATAATACACCTTAAATTCGTCTTAAATCAAATTAATCTTTTATTTCAATTCGTAAATATTGTAACGACCATTAAACGAATCGATTGTATATTACTACTGGTTAGTATTAGCAGCACGTGTATTCAATATAAATAAATAAAATATAAATAAAATCTTATCTGTGTAAACGACACACGTAAGGGAGGTGGAATTGTATCTTAACCGTTTAAAATCACGTTGAAAAGTCGTACTACCTTATATCCATAACTTATTTTGTTAATTTAGTAATACATTAACAATAATACTATACCTACCTAATATTATACAACAATATTATAATAGGGAGTTCATATTATACTTTCTACGATGGTTATTTGGTTACATTTTAGGTAATATTGTTGTACCGACGCATTCATGACGAAAAACATATGTTCAAACACAACGTTGAAATTTATCAGAAATTTATCAGACTATTATAGTAAGTTAACTTGTGATGATTTGTAATCTTTTTTGAAGAGATTAGTGGAGGAGAAAATCGACTATATTATAAAATATTGTAAAAAACATCGTCGGCTTGAAAAAAAAGCAAAAAGCTGCGGTCTGTCCACTTTGCTGTGATATACGTGTATGTACACTCCTCAGCATTATTTAATAATATACATCATGCTTGGGGTGGGTATGTCTCGGATGTCGGGACCTGCTTGTCTGCGATCTCTGACAGAGGTTGACAAAACGACGTACGTAAAACGGTTTTCATCGCTCTGACGGGGCCGAATGCATTTTCCGGTCAAACAACGATAACTGTAACAATATACCTATACACAGCGGTGTTTCCAAATTGCGTGCGAAAATCATTGTCTAAGTAGAATTGCATGAGTGGTTTTCTCGCGACAGCGCCGATAGTTGTGTGAGTGGATTTTCCAAGACACAACTGATTTGCAAGGAATACGAGCGAATATTCAGTATGATCAGATTTGTAAATACCAAAAAATTTAAAAATTAAAAAGAACAGAAGTGCCTATATGTATAATTATAATAATAGTGTGTTATAAAATATTTGATTAAAAACTACAATTTTACTGTTGTGAAAAAAAATTGTATCAACATTTTAAATTCGAAAAATTACAAATCAAAACAAATTTAATAGAATAAAATATAAAAATAACTGTGCAAACATTTTTTATTCGTCATATTATAATCGATCTGGGTGCTAACTACGTATTATACATTATGTCATTATTATATTATACATTTTTATAAAACTGTTATCATATATAGTCACCATTCATCATAATCTAGACCCATATTACAGTTTATCGAATTATTGACTAGGTATATTTCGATATATTATAATGCGCAGGTTGGCAAAAACCAGTCTCTTCAAACTTTTATATTATATACGCGCACGCAACTCGGCTCTGTCGCAAAACATCGGTGAACGCAATTCGGGGTTGTCGACTAACATTGCTCTTTGTCGGGTAGAGAATATGTTTCGGTGACCGCCATCGGAGAAGTGTCGCGCCGAGGAATAATAATGGTTTGGGGGGAGAGACCGAAAGCGGCGAAAACATCGCTCACCCTCGTCACACACTTTCGCCGGGCACAAGGGCTCCTTATTCTAACCCCTTCAACAGTTTGGTGAGCTTCAGAATTATAATGAGACTCGTCGCACCGCACAATGCGCCCTTTCAACAAACTATATTATATATTTTATATAAGTATTGGGATTTGTCAAACATTTGCTCGGGTATTGCTTCCTCCGTGGCCGCTATACCAACTCATACCCTTACCGGACTTACGCTGGTTGCAAGTACTCGCGCCCACCAATAGGCACTTATTATATTATTAAGTTATACAACTGGTCTATCGTCTATATATGAATGCATGACCCATCTTCTAACATACCCTCATCGAGTCACGTGTGCTGGTTCCAATCGACGGAAAAATACTAAAAAGAAATCTCATATCACTCATCTTTCTGACAGATTGCTTAATTCGTTCATGCCCCGTGATTCGTAAAATATTATTATTTTATGCAATTTATCATCACCGTTGTGATTAGTATAATATAATATATTATTGTAATATGTAATTGTCATTTGAAGTCACTCGTGTTCATTTGTTGAATGTTTATAATAGGTATACCGTTATACCTAATATTAATTTTATGCCGATTATCTACTTCAAATACACACATAAAAACTTAAACTCATATTTTTATCAGATCATTCATATTTTCCACGGCGATCAGTGGTCAGTTGATCACTACAATGGAACTTCATTTCACCTTTTATTATTCCTTGTATATTATAGCTAAACCTAGTTATCTATGCTAACAAAGAACTACTTTTTTAGTTTAGAAATCTTTAATGGTTAAGAACTTAAATTCTAAATATCTAAATAAATTACAATAGGTCTGGTTTCTCGATTTATTTTTAAGTTCTTATATGGTTCCATATTGAAACAGTCCAGTTTCTTAATTTAATTTAAATTTATAAATGCTTAATAT